CCGGAGTTCTCCTTTAACTATTGATGTTCACATTTGAAAAAAATGTGCATTACCTATTGTTGGACATAGATTTGTTTTTAAATATCTGAGTCTAAAAGTCAGACACCCATTTAGAAAATTAAGTATTTTATCATTTAACCCTGGAAATAAAAAGTAAGTTTAGGATATAAAACAAAATGTGCAATGCAAATCGTTTAACTTCTCACTTAAATTGTAATGCAGATTATAACTTAAAAAAATGCCCCCATAAAATGCATACGTAAAATGTATTTTATTTTAATTAAATTAGAAAATCAAAATAGCAGCATTTTTTCGCAACAGACAGTACCTATTTATTTTTATTTCTAAAGTGTTTTACATAAAAAGAATATACAGATTCAAATATATATATTTATATAATAAAATAGGTAACACTTTAGTTTAGAGACAAATTCTCACTATTACCTGGTTGCTTATTTGTATGCATATTTACTAGGATATTGGCTGCTTATTAGTTCTTAAAAAGCACATATTAATGTTTCATTCTGCATGTTCATAGTTCATAGTTAGTTAATAGTGAGAATTGGACCCTTATCTCAAATGTGATTGTCATGTTTGGTTGGGTTTTGGTACAAGTTTATGTTTTCATGTCTTTTATTTTGTGTTTATCATTGGTTCATTGTTTGATTATGCACAGGTGTTCCTTGTTAGTCATTAGTCTCTCTGTATAAATAGCCTTAATGTTTCATTATTCTCTTATCTAGTTTGTCTACTATTGTCTTTGTAACCCGCTGCACTGTTGGTGAGTTCAAGTCCATGTTCAAGTCCAGTCCACGTCTTTGTTTATTTTGTATTCAAATAAAACAATTGTATTGTTAAATAAAACTGCACTTGGTTTCACACGCAACTCGCCTTCAGTGGACTTACTGAGTCCATATCATATCACTATTTAATAAAAGGGATGTCAAACAGGTGTATTTGTTGTCTCATTTCTTTCAGGCACTTAAGAGGAAGATCCTGTTAAAAGGGAAGAAAATTGGAAATGAATCAGAGAGCCTCACAGGTGAAGTCAGTGATGAGGACGAGGCAGCAGAAATGAATAAGGACTGTCCGGCATCGGAGAGTCCACCAACAGATGCAAAGGTAACAGTAGAAATATTAAGAAACTGAGAAAAAGCTCACTTATTGTTTTCCACTTCCTTGTTCAAGATTGTTTTTGATTGCTATGTATAAATACATATAAATAAATACAAATTCTATGTTTGATTCCCCTATGTAGAAATCGAAGCAAAATCTATGCAAAGAGCTCTCAGACCTGATGTTCTGTAAGAGCGTACATTTCAACAGCTTTGAACATTCCCGCACCTCTGCTAAGCCTGATGAGATGTCATCGTTCTCTGAGTCTAAAGCCCGAAAATATTCCAAGGAAGCAGGTCAGAAAGATTTTTTTAATGGATAGTTTGCTCAAAAACTGAAAATCCTGTCTGCATATATTCAATCTATGTTTTTTCTGTGGAAAACAAAATGAGTTTTAGTGTCCGCAAGGTTTTGAAAAAATATATTTTCTATAAAATATGAATAATACATTTTTATCATAAACTCAAACTTCTATAACCTTTTTTTCTGTTTAACTGTCTTAATGTATTTAATCTGCCAAAAGTCTTCTTTAAAATAAGACCAATCTTACATATATATTCCAAAGCATTCTTGAATTACAACCATTTAAGTTCGGATTGAGTATTTTCATGTTTATTCAAAAAAGGGCACTTAAAGAGATATTTCACTTTGAAATTAATTTTTGGCATGTTTTAGCTTACCTCAAGGGCATCCAAGATGTAGGTGTCTTTGTTTCCACAGTAGTTTCAATTTTTATATTTTTAGGTCAAATCGTTGTTGTCTGTCAGTCATACACTGGAGGCTAAGGGGGTCCACCAAAAAGCATGCACAGAGAAGTCAAAATTAAACATCATTTAATGACTCGTAAATGTAAGTACACATTGATGGCCTAAGACACGAAACGAGCGGTTTGTGAGAAAAACGAACAGTATTTATATCGTTTTTACCTCCTGTAATCAGTCACGTCCAAGTACTCTGAGGGCGAGGGCGCTTTGGTCTGCGCAAGCACCGGAAAGTGCCGGAAATGATGCGTCACTCATTGTTTACACAGATTTCAGAAGTATTACCCTTCACTGTGAAGATCTAAACATATTTAGATATACAGGAAATTGCAATAGAAGACGATTTCGATATATCAACAGACAACGTTGATATTTTTTTTCGCAACCGCTCGAGAGATCACTTCCGGTGCCTTCAGAGTACTTGGACGTGGCTGAGGTTACAAGAGGTAAATACTGTTTGTTTTCTTACAAAAACCACTCGTTTCGTCTCTTAGGCCATCAATGTGTACTTACATTTACGAGTCATTAAATCATGTTTAATTTTTGCATGCTCTTTGAGGTGGTGACCATAGACCTCCATTATACGTCTGACAGACAAGAACAGTTTGACCTAAAAACATCAAAATTGAAAATACTGCAGAAACAAAGACACCTACATCTTGGATGCCCTTGAGGTAAGCTAAAACATATCAAAAATTAATTTCAAAGTGAACTATCGTTTTAAGAGGTTAAGCAACTCTTTACCTTTTCATTTCTATACAAAAATATAAATATTATGTGAAGTAAAGTGAAATCCTGAAATTTCGTCAGGTTCAGATTTCGTTCTGCATAACACCAGGCAGCTGACAAGAGTGTATCCAAGTGGAATGAGAACGGATTCATCAAATTACTGTCCACAGGACATGTGGAACATGGGATGCCAGATTGGTCAGTATGGTAGATATTGAATTACACACCATTATTCCAAAACAACAGAGTGGAATAACAGGAGTATGGCAGACAAACGATCAATGTAAAAAGGAGCAGGGAAACATGGCTAATGTGTTGTAAAGTGAACAGTGTATTTACTGTAATGTGTTTCTGATTCTTAGTGGCATTAAACTTCCAGACTGCTGGAATGGAAATGGATCTTAATGATGGGTTGTTTACTCAGAACGGCTGCAGTGGCTACGTTCTAAAACCTGAGATACTGTGCAACAGAGAGAGACTCTTTGATCCTGAAAAACCTGAGGAACGTGAGGATTACCACCCTTTACTGTTCTCTGTGAAGGTATCAAACAGTATTTGTGTTCCTTCTCCTACTTCCCTTTGAGATTTTATTTGCTGATTGTTCTTTGTTTTTTTAGATTATTAGTGGACAACAGCTCCCTAAAGTAAGGCAAAAAGAGTGGTCCATTGTAGACCCCCTGGTAAGGGTGGAAATTTATGGTGTTCCTCTGGATCAAGCCAAACAGGAGACCAATTACATTGACAACAATGGTGAGGAAGTGAAGATAAAATGCTGTGAAGTGTTGCCAAATAATTTCAGGATACAAAATGTTGACAAAACTGTTAAGAGTTTACTGTGGAAATAGACATTTACAGACCATTGGAACCCTTTAATTGATGCTACTTGCAGTGATTTTTTTTCTTTGTGTTATTTTTCATCTGGACAGGATTCAACCCATGTTGGAATGAATCTTTGCAGTTCAAAATCCACACCCCTGAGCTGGCACTGGTGCGTTTTGTAGTTGAAGACTATGATAAAGCATCTAGGAATGACTTCATAGGGCAAAACACTCTTCCTTTTAACTGTATTCAACCAGGTAGGCCATTTTAACAAAAGAAAAATATTTTTGGTCTCATTCACTAACTATGCAAACACAGCCTTTGTGTGAATGTTTCCAAACAGAAAACGTCTTTAAAATAAGATAAAAAATTGAGAACCAATTGAAACCACATTTACACAGGTTCCATGTTGCCTTAGAAAAATTATTCATTATATTAACAAAATTATAAACGCAACACTTTTATTTTATTACCACGCCGGAGTCCCCAATACAGTAAAACTGCACATTTAAGAGTTGCCTTTTATTGTGGCCAGCCTAAGGCACACCTGTGCAATAATCATACTGTCTAATCAGCATCTTGATATGCCACACCTGTGAGATGGATGGATTATCTTGGCAAAGGAGAAGTGCTCACTAACACAGATTTAGACAGATTTGTGAACAATATTTGAGAGATAATGCCTATTGTGTACATAGAAAAAGTCTTAGATCTTTGAGTTCAGCTCATGAAAAATGGGGGAAAAAACAAGTGTTGCATTTATAATTTTGTATATCCTCAGTGTAAAATTATTTTCTGATCACATAAGAATGCTTGTATGCAATTATTAGTGAATGAGACCCAGTGTCTTTAGATCTGGGTCTCATTCACTAATAATTAAACTCATTCAATTATTAGTGAATGAGACCCAGATCTTTTGTCTTATTAGTGAATGAGACCCAGTGTCTCTGAAATAATTAAAAATTAATTTGGCTTTCTTGCAAATAAAAAGTTTCTCTTTCCAGGATACCGCCATGTGCATCTGTTGTCCAAAGACGGAATGAGTATCCATCCATCCTCCATCTATGTCCATATCAAAATCGCAGAGCTGTGATTTCACAATTCCAGGATTATCATTTACAATGCTTGAAACTTGTTCTGAAGAGCTAATATTTCTCAGACATATCTGTAAATTGTAAAAGGCAGAGTAGCATTTTGAGCTTTATTTAAACAGTAATTATAGTATAGCAACTAACATTTTTTAAGATTACCTCGACTGTTGCATGGTGTTTGTAGTGCCTTCTCAATGAAAAAAAAAGATCCTCATGTATGGTGCAGAAATGCTTATTTGGTAAATGCAGATTTTACTTTTGATTATTTAATCTATGCAATATTGAGCATACTGATAATCAGAATATTTATTTTCAGTTTGAATAACACAATAAGGGAAGAATGCAGGTTGTACATTATTTGGTTTTACGTAATTGAACACGGTAAAGTACCTTTTCTAAATAACCCAAAAGCAAGTGTTCATAAGTAAATGACTTATACTCGTATTAAATGTTTGTTTTTAATGTCTTAAAGGAATAAACATACTGAAAAAAATAAGTTTATTCCGTGTGGTTTGAATACCAAGACAAGTTATACTTTCACATGATGGACAAATTCATCAATTGAAATGAATACAGAAACAGTGCATGGTTACATGTCCCTTGCAGTTTGCATGTGCTCTAAAGCAGTTTGCTCATCCTCTTGTCTCTCTTCTTCCTCAAGCCATGTCTTCTGTGTACCCATACTAGAGGCCTCTTGGTCTTTACCCACACCATCTTGGACAGGCAAGTCTGGATGGTGTCTCTGAAGATGCTTCACAACCTGAAATTTCTGTTTAGCCCGGTAGGGACAGTGGAGGCATTTAAATGGCAGCTGATTGGTGTGGGACAGGTAATGATGGCGGAGACCCGCAGGCCAGCGGAACGCCCTTTGACATACGGAGCACACGTAAGGCCGCTCCTCACTGTGCTTTCTCTGGTGTGTCTTGAGCAGAAAGCGCGTCTTGAAAGCCTTTCCACACTTCTCACATATGAAGGAACGCACGTCTCTGTGGCGTGTCTCCCGGTGGATGCGCAGGGCATCGGCACGGTTGGTGCGGTACTCGCAGTCCTCACATACGTATGGTTTGGCACCTGTTAGAAACCAGGATAAAACATCAAGATGTGCAGAAACTTTACAGTTAGAGTGAGTTAGAATAGCACATACCTGTATGTTTTGTCATGTGATACTTCAGTTGGTTGACCCATTTGCATTTGTAGCCACATTCTGGGCAGAGATATTTGCGTTCCTCCATGTGAATCCTCATATGATACTAAAATAAAGAGCATTGAAACAGAATTGAAAGTCATAACCCAAATTCCCCAACCTTGAATCGCCATCTTAAGCCCCGTTCACACTACACGCGACGCGATATACCATTCATTATCAATGGTGAGCGGGCGACTTCCGGCGACACGCGCGACAGCGACCGGTGGGGCGTGTCCAGCGACGCGACAAAGTTGAGAAATGTTTAACTTTATGCAAATGAAGGGCGATTTTCGCGAGCGACAACCAATAGGAGTGAAGTCAGTGGAGCGCGTCACTCTTCAGTGCGAGACAAGTTGAACGAGAAGCTCATTTTAGCAGTCAGAAACTGTCCTATAATTCATGATATATCTCCGTGTACATACAGTGGTGTTCATCGTAATGACTCCGTGACTGAATGGAACCCAGATTGGCCCGGTATTTGCCCGTTTGCTGCAGCTAAATTGCCGCGATGGCAAAGAGCACTCACTGTTTCTCGTTCATCTGTAATATTATGCATTTTATGTACTGATTCCATTTATATTTAGACTTTTCCTTACAAAATATTTGTTTGTAGCGGCAATTAAAATGTATTTGTTGTCTAACATAGAGTAACTTCCGTGAATGTCACTCACAAACATTACTAGGCAACCAGTAGTGGGGGACCTGCAGCGACAAAGTCGCGTGTAGTGTGAACGGGGCTTTAGGTAATTATCATTCATACCTTTAGTCTTGAAGGATCAGCACATGCATAGTTGCACATCTCACAGTGGTAAGGTTTCTCTCCTGTATGGATTCGAATGTGCCACGTGATCTTCTGTTTGTTCCTCGTGGAAAACTCGCATTCGGTGCACTTAAAGAGGAAGGTTCCTCCATGTGACCGCACATGCTGGTCGAACACCACTTGATGGGTGCAAGAGAAACCACAAACATCACACTTCAGAGTTTTCTCCTCTGCTGGGCCGTCTTCATGCTCATCTAACATGTGCTGGACCAGAATGAGCCTTTTATGGGTGCTGAAGGAACAAACCAAGCACTGATGGTTGTTGGATATCTTACTTTGTTTCTCAAGACCATCTTGAGGATCTTTTGTCTTGATTTCAGAATGTTCACGCTGCATATGTGCTTTGAGAGCAGCTTGGCGGCTGCAGGTAAAGTTACACTGGGTGCAGGACAGGCTGTTGGCATCTGGATGTGCTCTGTGGTTGTGCTGCTTCAGGGCAACTTCGGAGCTGAAACGTGCATTGCATTGGCTGCAATTGTAGGCAAGATCGCCAGTGTGGCAGCTCAAGTTGTGGCGGTTAATATCGTTGAGGTTATATGCTCTGTAATCGCAAAGTGAACAGAAGTGCGTTGCCTGTTTGTCATGAATGCGTTGATGGTGTAAGCGTAGTCTGGATGTGGTGCCAAAAGTTTGGCGACAGAGTTCACAGCTATGTCTCCCAACACCTGTGTGCAGGGACTCGTGGGCCTCCAGCCGGTAGCGACGAATTGTGCTGAAAGTGCAAAAGCGGCAGCGGTGAGGGCGGACTCCCTCATGCTTCACGGCAACATGCTGTGTCAGGCAGCGCTTTTGTTTGCAGGTAAAGGAGCAAAGACTGCACTGAAGATTACCAGACAATTTACCTCTAGTAGCCTTCAAGTCTTTCTTGTGTCCCAGGATATGATGGTTGAGAGATTTGTCTGATTTGGCAACAAATGAACAGTGCGGACACTGTAATTCACCTGGTTTTAAACAGCCCTTTATTTCATGGCTTGCTAGGCTCTCTTCTGGTGACAGATAAACGGACAGTTGGGACATGAGAATCGAGGTTTGGGGTTTTGAGGTCTCTCTGAGTCATTTGCCCCATCTTCCTCCTGATCATGGTCTGAGTCGCTAGGATTATCCTCTTGCTCAAACTGCTCTCCCATTTCAGCCAGATGTACCTTATGGGTGTTTCCCATAACGCTGCATGTTGCACAATGTCGATCTATTGTGACTTTCCTGACAGAGGAGAAAGGACAATTTCTACAAGTATACCTACCATCATCTTCAAAATAGCCACAGGTCTCATTTACCGATCCCTCCACTTCCACCTCCTTGTTTCTACTCCCAACAGTTGCCTTCCCTCCTTCAGATGTGATTGAATCAGTCTCATTTCCCACAGTTACAATAGCAGACAGTGGGCCTTCAGGTTCAGCCGAACCTTTTACTCTTGAATCTGCAGAATCAGTGACTTTAAAAGGTTCAGGTTGTATTTTGAGGGATCCTGATTTGTGAGTCACACTCTGTATCTGTATAGATGCATCACTCCCTGAACTACCAACACAACTCCCTGATTTACCTACAGTGCTTGTTAAATCGAACTTCTTTCTGCATTTCCGGAGGCAATGGGTGTTTAAAGAGCGTTGCTGTTTAAAATTCATGCCACAGTCCTGGCAACGTAGTCCTGCTTTCATGACCTGGCAAGACGACTTGCAGTGCCGGATTAATGCTGCATGCTTTCTGGTCACATAGGAGCAACGGCTACACTGAAACATATTGTCCCGCGTCTGGACAACAAGCATCTGCACCCTGCCTTCTAATATGAGTGCTTCAGCTTGGTCTTTATCCTGTTTTCTCATTACCTGCAGACGACTCTCAGAAGCTGAGGGCTCTACAGAGTTGTCCTGAAGTCCCTCCCTGTTCATTACAGTTTCCGTCACTGGTGGCAGGTCTTCAGAGTCACTTTGATCCTCACAAGTGGCATCATCCTCAACGGATGGTTCTGGGAAGTTCTGGTGGATTGTATGCAATGTCTGAAATCCAACATGACTCTTAACTTGTGCGTCAAATGCAGAGCCCTGTATGTTTACTGTCTCAACAAGTATCATTTGTGTGCTATTCGTGCTGGTTTGGGAAGTAAAAAGTGGGGTGCTGCACTGTTCCTCATCATTTGGATATTCTCCAGAAAGATTACTTGCGTCTTCTCTTGCAGACTCAATCCCAAGACTGACGTGCCGTGCTAAAGTCATTTCCTTGGCTGTTATTGCTTCTTCCTCATTATCATTTACAGACATATCTTGTGAGTCATCTATAGTCTTATTGGACTGTTTGGTATTACCCGTTTCTTCCCTGAATTCTGAACCTGAAGTCTGAGGTGCTGCGGTTTTGGAGAAAAAGTTGTGTGTCAAATCCGCAGAGCTCTGCTCTTTCTCTTTCTTTGCATACTTCTCAAGCCACCCCACATCTCCTGGCACATATCCGTGAGATTTCTTTTTGTGCAGGAAGAGGCCGGTGTTGCTAAATGTGGTGTAGTGGCAGAGCGCGCAGCGGAACACGCGTGTCCGGGTGTGCCTGCAGTTCTCGTGGTTATGCAGGGCTTGCCGGTATTTTGTTGTGTATGGGCAAAACTTGCACTGGTAAACAGGAGGTTGGGGATCTACGTTTGTAGAGTGCTTCAGCTGCATATGGTTGCGCAGTTCTGTTTTTCTCTTGCAGGAGTATGCACACACCTCACAGATCAGGGATTTTTCCTGGTGGCGGAGTTTATGGCTGTTCAGCTGGTCGATGCGGTGGCAACGATATGGACACTGATTACATTTGTACCTGAGAGATAAGAGGCGGTCTAGTCAAATAAACTGAAATGTTTTTGGGTTTTTTTAAATCACGTTTTAATTACAATCCAGGTACAAACCTCAGATCTCCTGCGTGCTTACGCATGTGGACACTGAGATAGTGTTTCCATTTCGTAACATATCCACATTCTGAGCACATGTGCTGCTTGTCACTGGAGTGTGTCAGCATGTGCTTCGAAAGGTACGTCTCATCACGGCATCTGAAGTCACATTGCGTACATTTGTGGGGCTTTTCACCTGTAAATACAAATGTTAAATATGTCCAGCCATGGCCAATTCAGAAGGAATAGTTCATTCAAAAATAAAAATGCTATCATCATTTACTCACTGTCATGTTATTTTTAAACCCTGTGCAAAACGCAAATTAAGATGTAAAGCACAATATCCACGCTGCTCTTTTCCACAGAATAAAAGTGGATGGTGATTAATACTACCAAGCTCCAAAAAGGACCAAAAAACACTGTAAAAGTATCATAAAACAAATCCAAGTAAACCTGTCTGCTATCTAGTATTTCAAGTTTGCTGCAACCAAACTAAAGCTTTGAGCGAATGCTATGAAATTAGGGAAGATACCTACATTTCACTAGGTTCCTCACACAAATGTATTGCATGACTTCAGAATACTTGGAATATGTTTACTACAAAAGACTACTTTTGTTACGTTTATGTATTTTATTGTATGGAATCAGAGGTGGATGGACAGTAACAAAGTACACTTTTTGAGTACTTTACTTGAGTGTTATTTTTTTCTGGAAACTTTTTACTTTAACTTCACTACATTGGAAAGACAAATATCCACTACAATTCTGTCAAGGTCCTTGAGTAGAAAGTAGTAACGTCAGTCGGGATGATTTTGGTTGGAAATAAAAGTCGTGTTGAAGTCAACTGACATCAACCTGATTTTCATTTTCAATGTTGGGTTTGGTCTTCTAAATGCGAAGCACACTAGCTTATAGATAGCAGTAAGGCTAACATATTCATACTAAAAGCCAAAAAACTTTAAATAGAACAGCAATTTGTGGACATTATTGAGTGCACTTATTCAATCTCGCATACAATCCCACTACTGGAACTGTGTTCTAGAAATAAATTTGACAGTGATATGAGGGTAGGGAGGCATGCATAGATTCAGATGCATACGGTACTGTGTAAGTATTAGATACAACAATGCAACAATAATAAAAAATGCAGTTTTTACTTTTAAAACACTTTTAAAAACAAGTGCTTCTGTACTTTTACTTAAAGGTGTATTGTGTAATATTTATGAGGATCTGTTGACAGGAATGCAATTTCATTTACATTACTATGTCTTTAGTATAAAGACCTTACTTAATGAACCGTTATGTTTTTATTACCTTAGAAAGAGTCATTTCTATCTACATAGCCTACACTGCGGGTACCCTTACATCGATATGTTTCTACAGTGGCCCTAAATGGACAAACGCGTTACACTTCGTGTTGTTCTTAGTGCAAAGAAGCTAGCTAAAGTCAGCGAATAAATCACTGACACAATGATGAACAAGTAACAATAATAGTCGCAATAACATATCGTTTTACTGAATAATTAAATAAACCTAATTTCTTAATTTATCTTTGTAAAGAAACTTTGATTAACTGAATACTCTCTGCTGTCTCAGACGAAGACATCTTTTCAGCTACCATGACTTCTGCTGGATGCAATTCACAACCTCACCACTAGATAAATTAAAACACAAAAAATTACACACTGCACCTTTAAGTAAAAATCGGTCTTTACAACTTTTACTTGTAACGGAGTGTATCTGAGCTTTCACTCAAGTAAAGAAGTTGAGTACTTTGTCCTCATCTGTATGAAATAGAGCCTAATATCTTCTGTATTTCATGAATTTTCAAATTTTCTTTTGAGTGACCTAACCCTATTAGCACTTAAAGAACTATGTAGAAAAACTAAATATCTTACCAGTATGCATCAGCATGTGTCTTTTCAGGACTCTTTTGTGAGCGGTTACAAAGCTGCACTGCGGGCAGTGTTGTGTTTTCTCATTGGCATGAAAGTGACCAACATGTTGTTCGAACTCTACAGGGTTGAGGGAGGAGAAAGGGCAGAAGCTACAGTTCAGTTCTTGTTTCCCTGGATGTCCTTGCCTTTTGTGCTGCTGGAAATGGCTCTTATTTGAGCACGAGAAGTCACAGTGGGGGCAGTGATAAGCCTGATGCGTCCGGAAATGTTTCTCCATGTCTTCTTGACTCTCGAAGAAGGAGCCACAGGCGTGATGGCGGCACTCCACGGCCTCAATTTGGTGAGCATCTAATACATGCTTTTGAAGCTGCTTTTTTTCTGTACTCTGAAATGAGCAGCCTTTATGAAAGCAAAGCAATGGCTGTCCGTCTTGTATCTTATTGTGAGACTTCATATGGATCTTTAATGCCTGACTCTGACTGAATGTCTTTTGGCAAGTTGGGCACTTAAACAGCTCTCCGTTGGGAGCTTTATCCTCTTGATGCCCGTGCACACTGGCAAGGTGTCGTCGCAGAGAGTTGCGTTCCACCGCTCCGTACTCACATAGATGACACTGGTGCAGTTTCTGTCCCGTCTCTCTCAGCATGTGGATGCGTAGCTTACTCTTGCTGGTGAAATGGTGTTTGCAGGTGGGACATTGCAGAGTGGGGTCGGGAAAGTGGATGCGCATGTGCTCTATCAAATGGGAGCGACTCTTGAAACAGCGTCTGCATTCGGAGCAGATGTGGGTGCGAAACATGTGTTCGGTGCCTTCTGCAACATGTCCCACTAAATAAAAAAATGGGACCTGGTCAGACCTGGGATTGCAATTATTTTAATCATAACATTCATGGTATTTACCTTTAGATGGAGACGTTCCTTGGGTAATGGTGGTCGATTTTTTCCCTTTATTTGTTGAAGCTTTTAATTTTTTGTCCATACTTTTCCTTCTTTTAGATTGCACAGGCATATCTGTTATATTCAAATGAGACAAAACTACAACAGAAAGAAAATGCAACACTTTGTATTATCGAAAAAAGACAAATTCATACCTGATATATATATATATATATATATATATATGTACTGTTATAATCAAAGACAAAACATTGATCTGAGTCATTATTATTTTATTAGGACACAGAAAGAAATGACAGACAAATCCAAATCAAATATTCCAGAGCCCCATACCTTACTGAATAAATAATTAATAAGCATTATTGTATTTTACCTTCAGGTGTATCTGTTGCATTGTTTTCCATATGTATGATCTGTTCTGCATCACATCCAGGCTCTTGTTGGTCCATGTTATAATTCGGGCAAAACAGGACATCAGTCAATCAGGAGAGGGGTAAAACTCCATTACAGCATCAGGATCATGAAGTGTTTCTGTCTCTCAGGGCAAGACTGTTCTGCATCACCAATGAGATCAAATGATTTATGGTTTATGGAATACCAGATTTGAGATTGAAAGCTGATCAGATTATTTAACACAACATAAAGGACATGATACAGCAATGAACAGTAACAGTACACAAATTAATACAGTGCGAGAAATATAATGTGAGCCTAGGGTTGGAACAAACAGGTTTCGATTGAACAGATTTTCGACCTACTGCGCCTGGTTTCGTGTTTCATTTGCTCTGATAAACATAAACAACACATTCAGCATCAAGAGACACCTTAAAAAAAACTTTATTATAATCAGTACTTAAATTATATGATTAAGAAATTAACGTTACCTTCATTTGGATGATGGAAACAATAAAACGGCGTCATTTCTGGGCCTTTTTGTTCAAAGAGGAAAATTAATTCTTACACAATACTCTCGTATACATGTTGAAGAATTATCAATTATAAAATACCCAAAATCTACAGTTGACTGTTCCTAAAGATACCTTAGTGTCATAACGAGACTGCGTCGTAAAAGAAAACTGTAAACAGTCACACAACGGAACTATTAATGTGAAACACATTACATACGGAACTATTTTCTCGAACAACGGAAATAGCACAGAGGTCGCCATGTGATTTGCTCATTTTATTTGAGTGAATCGGTTCTTTTGAACAGTTTGTCTAAAAGAACCGCTTCAAAAAACGAATGTAATTTAAAGTGAGACTAGTTTGTGAATTGGTTCAACCGAGTCATTGAAAAGATTCGACTCAACCAAAAGAATGATTTGTTTACGCTGCAATGAGAGAGACCATTGCTTACTGTGGCATGCACTATTTATCTGATGCGCACATTTTTCGTTTGTTTTAAGTTAACAGAGAAATTGTTGTTTGTAAAATGCGGTGTGATATTTGCACTACCGTAAGTTTAGCGACTTTTTAATTCTGCATTTATTTAAATAAAAAATATACCGGTAGATCTGATTAGTGACAGCTTGGTAACTTATGGTTTATCAGTAACGTTATCTCTTCAAAATTAAGAAGAAAATGGTTTCACGTCATTTGCTGTGAATGCAGGATGTAAGTTATATTGCATGGAAAATACAGAAAGACTTGTCCTAATTGCTTTAGAGAACCCCAAGACACCTTCATCATGACCCTGTCAGATTTCATTGGAGCCCTGAAGGACAACCCTTATTTTGGGGCAGGATTTGGGCTAGTTGGTATTGGCACAGCACTTGCAGTTGCCAGAAAAGGGGCACAGGTCGGCATGATCTTCTTCAGGAGAAATTACATGATCACACTGGAGGTCCCCAGCAGAGATAAAAGTTATCACTGGCTCTTAAGCTGGATCACTAAACATGCGAAACACACCCAGCATCTGAGTGTTGAAACCTCATATATGCAGCATGAGAGTGGGCGAGTCCATACACAGTTTGATTTCCATCCAAGTCCAGGCAACCACATCATTTGGTAAGATCACAATTTATGTAAATGTTTTATTACTGCTGGCTGGCTGGTATCTTAGTAAGTACCCACTAGCATTACCAGTCAAAGTATAGTTCTCCTTATTATACTCCCCCATTGTTAGATTACTTGCATTCTAGATTGATGTTACTTTGGACAGTTTACATTTGGTTAGTTGCTGATCTGATCAAAGGTATCCATCTCAATAAGATGTGTTTTCAGGTATGGTAAAACGTGGATCAGAGTTGAGAGGACCAGGGAAAAGCAGATGGTGGACCTGCACACTGGAACACCCTGGGAGTCCGTCACCTTCACTGCCCTGGGAAGAAACCGGCAGGTATTCTTCAACATTCTTCAAGAAGGTATGTGACTTTCAGCTGAACTCCTTAGAAATGCATGGCAGGGGATAGTTTACCCAAAAATAAAAGTTCTGTCATGATTTACTCACCTTCATGTCGTTCCAAACCCGTAAGACTTTCGATCATCTTCGGAACACAAATGAAATCTGAGAGATTTATGTCCCTCCATTGACAGTCTACCTAACTACCACTTTAAAGCTTCAAAATGTTCATAAAGAGATCATAAAACATATCCATATGACTTGAGTGGTTTAGTACAAATTTCTGAAGAGACACGATCGCTTTATATGATAAACAGAATAATTCAGGCTTTTATTCACATACGGTATAAACATGGATCAGGAAACAAACAGAAGCTAAAACGAACCTGCTCAATATGTGAGAACAAACTTAAACGTGCTGCGTAACACGATAATGAACCTCATTGGTTCTCGCACATCAAGTGAACATGTTTCGTTTCCTCACACAACTGATGTGTAAGTTGATGAGTGTTTATATGCGAATAAAAGCCTAAATTCAATATAAAGTGATCATCATGTCTATTCAGAAAAGTTTGGACTAAATCGCAAGGCAGTCTGGATACCATGGATCAAATTTTCGCCTCAGCGAGGGGACCAATCACAGAACTGGGAAGGAGCAGCTGTCGCTCTACGTACGTCATCTGGTATAATTGAACCGATTGGCTTTGAGTTACGGACAGGCGCATTTGATAGACATCGGTAGCACCCAATAAACGGCTCTGGGCATTCGTAAACTATGCCTCAAATACAAGAAAATGAACATGTGGTTCCCAGACCACGTCTCAATGTCAATGAGACGTTGTCTGACGTTAGCCAGGCTACAATTTATATGGATTTGTTTCACATTCTCTTTATGAATGTTTTGAAGTGTCAAAGACTGTCAATGGGACAGAAAGCTCTCAACTTTTATTCAAATATCTTCATTTGTGTTACTGAGATGAACGAAAGTCTTACGGGTTTGGAACGAGTAAATGATGACAGAATTTTCATTTTTGTGTGAACTATCCATTTAATGATTAATTCTGTGTCCGTGCAGCACGTGAACTTGCTTTAAAGCAGGAAGATGGCCGGACTGTTATGTACACTGCACTTGGAGCGGAGTGGAGGCCATTTGGGTTTCCAAGGCGACGGCGACCTCTGTCTTCAGTAGTGCTTGAGAATGGAGTGGCGGAGAGGATTGTGGATGATGTAAAGGAATTCATAGGCAATCCTAAGTGGTACACTGATAGAGGTGAAATGGGAAATGATAACTTCAATCAAATAAAATGTTTTTTAAACTTCCATATCAGGAAAAAAATCTGTGTGCAAATCTCTAATGTCATTGTAGTTAATAAAAGTATTGCTTTTGTGTTTGTTTTATGTTTAAATTCATATCTAATTTCAGTTTTGTTGTTGAATGTGTTTCACTAAGGCATTCCATATAGGAGGGGCTATCTGCTATTTGGACCCCCAGGCTGTGGAAAGAGCAGCTTTATGTAAGTATTACTTTCTTTACAGTTCATGTTACTATTAATTAATAATAGTGTTGTTTTTATGCAGTGTAGAACTTCACAATATTATAGTTTTTACTGAGTTCTTATTAAACTCAGCCTTGGTAAGCTTAAGAGACTTCTTTCAAAAACATAAAAAAAATTACAGACCCCAAACTTTTTAACAGCAGTGTCTATACCTCTATAATGTATTTGTGTGTATTATTCTTTAAAGGAGAACTCCGGCGCAAAATGAACCTTTGGTCTAATAACACATTGGTATCTAGTCAACCGTTCTCTGAGATTTGTTTTCATAATAATCAAATGTAAAGCGTTTTATCTTTAGAAACTGTTTAGATTATAACGCTAGTATATGGGGGCATATAATAAGTAAAAAGAAATCGCTAGTTGATACCACTAACAAGGCTCAAAATAGCCCCACACTAACACAGTAGCATACAGGCAGGAGCCATCTTTGGAAAACAGTCTCGACAAGTCGAACCACGAACGCCGTTCAGCTCACTCGGCACGTTGTTCGTGGTTCGACTTATCGAGACTGTTTTCCAAAGATGGCTCCTGCCTGTATACACGAAGTGGACTGTCTTTATAAAGTATCTTCTAATTAAACGGTCTGTTCACAAAGTTCTCAATGCTTAGTTTTGCATGTATGGAGCCTCATTATGTTACTGTGTTAGTGTGGGGCTATTTTAAGTCTTGTTAGTGGTATTAACTAACGATTTCTTTTTATTTATTATATGCCCCCATATACTAGCGTTATAATCTAAACAGTTTTTAGAGATGAAACTCTTTACATTCGATTATCATGAAAACAAATCTCAGACAACGGTCGACTAAGTACCAATGTTTTATTAGACCGAAGGTTCATTTTGCGCCGGAGTCAACCTTTAATAGTCTATATTGATATACTGCAATTTATACATGCAGTGAACATAACATCTGACATTTTTTAAATGGTATAGTATTAAAAAAAGCTATTTTAAACAGCGCAGAAGTGCAATTTGGAGTCCCAAGTCTTACCATTCTGGCGGTATTTCAGAACTGCGTTGGCGGGTGAGCTGGGTTACAGCATCTGTCTGATGAGTCTCAGTGACCGCAGCCTGTCCGACGATCGCCTCAACCACCTGTTGAGTGTCGCTCCGCAGCAAAGCATCATCCTGCTAGAGGACGTGGATGCAGCCTTCGTCAGCCGGGATCTTCTGCCTATAGAGAGTATGACTTACAGACTTCTGAATATGTTTATATGCTGAATTATAATTAAATAATATTAAAAAAAATAACAATAGACAATGTAATTACAATCACATGTGAGTAATCATGATAATTTAGATTGGGCTTAACAAAACTGTGGAATATGTTTGCATTTGTTGTTCTCACAGATCCACAGGCCTATCAGGGCATGGGCAGGCTTACTTTTAGTGGACTTCTGAATGCTCTGGATGGAGTGGCGTCCTCAGAAGCCCGAATTGTGTTTATGACAACTAATTTCATTGACAGGTAAAACTCTTGAACTTCTTCCTGAAGCTCAAACATGCTGCCATGACACCCGAGAATTAACCTTATTGGTTCTCACACACGTCATAACCATGCTTAAATTAAATCCGAAGATGTCTTATGGGTTTGAAATAACATGAGAGTGAGTAATTGGTGCACATTTTCATTATGGGGTGAACTAACCCTTTAATATATAAAGTATATATTTAATACATAAAAATATATGTTTAGTATATCGCAATAATATAAATTGTAACATTTATTACACAAAATATATTTCGTTTAAAAAAATCCAATATTCAATCTAGTTTCTGTTAAAATAGCTTTTGTGTGTGCAATCTCAATAAAATATTTTTAAAAATCCTGTAATAATGAATGAAGTACGGTATTCATGAACACCTGTAACTGTGAACAGTGTGTTTTTCATGGTATTGTTTTCCTTTCTCCCATTTCTATTTTTCCCCCTCTGTGCTGAAGACTTGATCCGGCTCTTGTCCGACCTGGCCGTGTGGATCTGAAGCAGTACGTGGGCCCCTGTACTCACTGGCAGCTGACTCAGATGTTCCGGAGGTTTTACCCTCAGGAGTCTGCGGCCGAGGCTGAGAGGTTCGCCGAGCAGGCGCTGGCAGCACAAACAGACCTCAGCGCCGCTCAGGTACAAGGACACTTCATGCTCTACAAGACAGACCCGGCTGGCTCCATCAAAAACATTGCAGAGATCAAGCAGTGAAGACCTACAGAGACAATGCAGACTTTTGAATGATATAAACTGAGCAACAGGCGAGTGATAAACAGTGTGGTTGAATCATTCTTTAAAATTTACGTCTGGATAAAGACTCTTCTCACATTGGAGTAATAAAATCCAACTGGTGGAAAATGTGTGTATGCCTTCGTTATTGGTTAAGTAACCAATATACTGTATGTACTGTACTTTATCTAACCCTTTTTAGATTATTGAATTTTTTTTTCTAAACATTCAGCTAATTTCTTTCAGGGAAAACTATTGTAAGCACAGGTCTCTGATTTTGAAAAGGTTCAAAATGTGCTTTTTCACTACAAACCTGTAGGAATAAGAACAGAGATTAATGCTTTAAAAGGGATAATTCACCCAAAATGTAAATTGTCTTTGTTCCCTTACCGTCACTACCCCTGTCCAAATCTGTTTGACCTCATTTCTCTGGTGTAACACAAAAGAAGAAATTCGCAAAAGAGGTCATCATTCACTGTCATCGTATGGAAAAGCTTTTTTTCTTCCACAGAGGAGCATGACAAAAGGGTGAGTAAATTATCATGTTTTTGAGTGAAGTAAATTTAAATTTTCTCTTGAGGTGAAGTATCATTATCGAACAGATGTTGAAGGGTTAACAAGAGAGGCTTTTGCCCCTCCTCCCTCTCCCTCCCGAGTGAAAGAGGATCGGCATTTGCCTCACTCTACTCCCTGCTTCCATAATGGCTGTTCGTTTTGCATTGAGCTCTGCAGAAAGAAGGATTGGATTTGTTTTTCTGAGGCCCATAACAACAACCACGGACATCAGGAGAGGGGCAGTGGGTAATGCTGTTGCTTCTGTCACTGTTCGGGACAGCCATGGGAAGCTCAAGACTGTGGCTGACCTTCCAGAGATCAACACATTTAGGATGTTGTACACACTGATCTTTAAAGGGTACCTGAATCGCGTGCATGAGCTACAGGTAAAGCAAGAAAACACAGCCTGACTGTAACTGCAGGACTCTTTAAAAGATTTCTGCCATCTTTTATGTACTCAGACTGTCAATGTTTTGCCTTTTGAATAGAAAGCAACCAACTGTCTTTTAATGACATTTTTCTGTTTAAACTTTTCTAATTAAACACTTTAAAATTCAGTAAGTTTGTCGTTTATTTGTTGCCTGAATCAGATTGGAAGTGCAATTTAGCTCAAAATTAACCAGATTTTTTTCTGCACATCTTGTTTGTTCTTCACCTTTTGTTTTTCATCTCTGCAGTTTTATAATAAAGAGCTTTATGGTCCCTTGTACAAAGTGAATGTTGGAAATCTCCAATCCATTTCAATAAACAGTGTGGATTTACTAGAGGAACTCCTTAGAAAAGATGAGAAGTTTCCTTGCAGAGGACACATGACTCTGTGGACAGAGTACCGTGACATGAGAGGCATCGGCTACGGCCCTTTCACAGAGTAAAAACATTTTTATCTGTATCATTTGTTTTGGAACTTCTACATTATGTAAGACTAGTCCTGTCATGAGATTTTATGAGGTCAAAGTGCATTTGGCTAATGAAGTGGTGTGATGTTGTTTAAACTTATCAGGTTATGTTGTTTTTTTGTTGCTGTTCTGAAAAGAGAATATGTTCTCCAACAGAGAAGGAGAGAAATGGTACAAACTGCGGTCAGTGCTGAACAAACGCATGCTGCATCCGAAGAACTCGGCTCAGTATGGAGATGTGGTCAATGCGGTGGTCAAAGACTTCATCAAACGGATTTACTATCTGCGGGAAATGAGCCCCACTGGTGATCTTGTACCTAACTTGTCCACTGAGCTTTACCGGTTTTCCCTTGAAGGTATTTCCCCTTCAAAAGCACTTGAAATTATATCAAATTGGTATCACTTAACAATAAGGTCTCATCATGTAAACATTTAGGTAATACATTATTTAACATGAACTGGAAACAAGGCTGGAATGTTTGTTATTGTTTTGGTCTGTGATACAATTTGCCAAAATTCATTGCCCATTGCACTGGTTCCTTTTGCGCGTCTCAAACTGGCGCCCCGTGAGAGCGTCGAGTCTGAGGAGGCGGGAGAAACGACGATCTCCGATATTTTGAATTGGACTGCAGTACCTGTTTCAACCACTAGTCATTCTGTCATTATTACAGACTGCACCTTTAACTTTAGCTGTGTTCCTTTTATTTTACCAACGACTACGAATCCGGAGTTCAATGCAGCGACTACGGAGTTCAATGCAGGATTCGCAAACCGATTGCTCTTGAAAGATGGTGTTCAAAATACTTTTGAGTTCCCATTCAGTCGGTCAACTCGGTACAACACATTACTATGGGTTATCTCGCTCTAGCGCCACCTGCTGAAAACACCTATATTTACGCCTGAAAGGCCAATGACGCATGACGACGTGGGCGGGGCTACCATATAATAGCATATAAATGCGGTCGTATGCGTCATTCCCTTTGTTCTTCAGCTCTTCACCGTGCTGCTAGAATGCCATCATGCCACAGTTTCGCAGGAAAAACCCACGGTGGTGATTCTTGTCAAAAAGCAAACAGCGAAAAGTGTAAAAGCATTTGAGTTTAGCATTGCTAACAAAAAGAGCTAATACATCTTTTTCTTGCAAAAAAATGGCTAATAATAAGAATTCTCGCCCATGTCCAATGTCATGTGGCTACTTGTTGTCCGAAAAAGATACTCACAAGCACTGTCCATTGTGTGCACTGTCCACCCTGCAGCATATGTACACTCCCAGCAGCTTCGTCAGTCTTCACTTGAGCGGCGTGTGGCATTTGTTGAGCGAGTGCTCGATTGTACAGCAGACAGGCACGGTCCGCTTCTGTCTTTAGGTGCTGGTTCCGATTTGGCACTTGCCATCTTTGAGGAAGCCACAGGGACTTGGGGCGACCGTGTGGAAGCCGGGGAAGTCATGGGTGATTTTGATGATGTTCCCGGGATAGACCCGAGGTTTAACCAGGAACTGAAGTGTCGAGAGGAGGATGCTTGAAGCGGGCGAGGAGTTTTTTGACAACAACTTCCAGCTGGGTCAGGTCGCGTCTTCCCCCTCACCCTCTCGTGCGAATGGAAGTGAGCTCTCTTAGAGGAACCCTTCATTGAGTTATATCGGAGAGCCGCAGCAAAACTGGCGGTGGAGTGGCCAGCCCCTCCCCCAGTTCAGAAAAACTCGCGTTTTGGGGGGTTCTATTTGTCGCAGGTACAGACGGTGGTAAGAACATCTGACACTTTACCCCGACTGTTTTTCAGAGCTTACAGCTTCATGGTCGAAACCCATGTCTCCTCTTTCTCCGGTGCCAAGAAGCAGGGTTAATAGCAGCCCCTCCAATGGAGCATTCTCTTGCGACATATTTGGCTCCAATGCAAAACAGCGGTATTGCTGGCATCCCCACTCTTCCGTCAGGACCGTGCAGGTTCTTGCACAGGCAGCTTAGCAGGATTTATGGTGATCGCGGTGCGGCTAGAGCCTTGAGCACTATGTCCTTGCTACAAACTTATCAGGCTACTTGTTTGTGTGTCAGAAGGAAGACTGGTTGACGAGCTCATGGGGGAAGTGCGATCTACGGCTGACTACATACTGCGTACGACTTGTTGCGCGTTAGTATCCTTGGGTCATGCAATGGCCAGTACAGTGGTGGCTCAGCGTCATCTATGGTTGACTTTGGCAAACTTGCCGGAACGTGATCGAAATGCGTTCCTCGGCGCACCAATCTCAATGACAGGTCTATTTGGGGAGGGTCTCGATGCGTTTCAAGCACGTTTCGAGAACTCTAAGAAACAGGTGGAATCTCTTAGGGGTTCAATGCCTAGAAGGTATAATAGACCAGCACATTCAGCTGCACAGCCAAATTTTAGGCCATCTTCTCGACCACCACCAGCAAAAAGGCCCGCTACAGCAACAGCACCTAGACCCAATGCTTGGGAAGCTGGGCGAGCGCACACACATCCTAAACAGCAGGTGGGGTCGGGAAAGAAAGGCCCGCCACCAGAGAAAGGGAAATTTTTCTCCGCAGGAAGGAGGGGACGGCCAAAATCCTAGCTCGGAGTTGAGGGGGGACCAGCGGCCCGGAGGCTGCCGTCTTCTTCTCTCAGTGAAAAAGAAACCCTGCAAAAGAGCGGGTTCAGCTTTAAGTTCAATTTCAATAAAGAAAAGTTGTGTTCACCATACAAAGCCTGATGTGTTGATTTGTCTGAACAATCAAAATGTTTTAGAATCACAGAAAATTAACCAGGTATTGTCAAAAGGGGTAAATGCAGAAATATACAATATCAAGCAATGCTCGGGGAGAGAGATAGGGGTTTCACCAGTCATGCCGGGGATCCTCGCTGCCAACCTGGGCCGGTGGCGTTCATGCGCACCAACACCATGGGTTCTTCGCACGATTCAGTGCGGCTATCGGCTGCAATTCCAGTTTTTCCCCAGTATTGAGAGAAAAAAATGGTGTTCTTCTCAGCAAAACTGAAATTCAGGTGGTTCCACAGGGGAAAATAGCGGAAGGGTTTTACAGCCGTTACTTCCTCCTCCCAAAGAAAAATGGGGGATTGCGCCCGATTCTGGATTTACGGCAGTTAAACAAGCACCTCCGACGTTACAAGTTCAGAATGCTGACAGCACATCATCTGCTATTCTCCCTGCGTCCCCAGCAATGGTACACATCGGTGGATTTGACCAATGCATATTTTCATGTCAATTCATCCGGATCACAGAAAATTTCTTCGAGGGGACTGCATATGAGTTTCTGGTCCTGCCGTTCGGGTTGTCCCTAGCGCCGCGCACATTCACGAAGTGTGCAGAAGTGGCACTCAGGGAATGGCGTTTGCTAAAGATGCTGTCTTATAAAACAGCCAACAACGGCTCTGGCATCAGCGAAGTGCGTTGGTGATCTTCATGCACTGTCAGTACATCCCTCATGAATTCAGTTTTCGCTGGATGGGTCTAAAGTAGTGTTGCGTCCAAATGTGGCGTACAGTCATGTCAGGGGCATATAGTGCGCTCTCCTTCGAGCTGCCAGCTCTATCAAATCTCTCGATTGATTCAGAGGAGGACGAGAGACTCCATGCGTTATGTCCTGAGCAAATTTTGCGCAGGTATGTTGAGCAAACTAACTTTTTGTGTGTTTTGCCAATCCAGTTTGGGAAAAACCGCTGTCTACACAGCGTCTTTCGCATTGGATCGTGGAGGCAATTTCAATTGCATACAAAAGTAAAGGGTTAGCCCTACCAACCGGAGTCCGGGCTCATTCTACACGGGGCATGGCAACGTCATGTGCATTGTTTAGAGGGGTGTCAGTGGACAACATTTGTGCGGCAGCCAGTTGGGCATCCCCGCGCGCGTTTGTTCGGTTTTACCGACTGGATGTCACTGCTTTAATGATGGCTCGGTCCGTGCTTACTGCAGGGGCTTTAGACCAAGGGCCGTCACTCTCTTGAAAAAAAAAGAGGAGAGGATTATGTGGCGGTTCTGGTCACTTACGTTTAGTTCAGCAACTTTGCGGGGTGTGAATAGAGGTCCCATAGTAATGTGTTGTACCGAGTTGACCGACTGAATGGGAACGTTGAGTTATGCATATAACTACTGTTCCCAGAAGGAGGGAAACGAGGTACAACACCTCTGGGCCCCACGCAATCGGGAATGATGCATACGACCGTATTTTTTTTTGCTGTGGGCAGGTAGCCCCGCCTACATCGTCGTGCGTCATTGGCTTTTCAGACGTGAATATAGATGTCTTCAGCAGGTGGCGCTAGAGCGCGATATCCCATAATTACTGTCTTACTGAAATACTTCTGCTGATCAGTTGTGGGCCACTATTACCTAAAACTCAAACTGAGTAGTAGTAGTAGTAGTAGTAGTATCACTGAGAAACGTCCTGCTCGAGTCATCCTTGTGATGAAGCTTCAGATTGAATTACTAGTTCTTCCAGTGTTTCATCATCGGACTCGCGCTCGCATTGATATGGTAAAATCGACATCATTGTTCTTTAGTGTGTTTAGTCTATGGTATAGAGCATCACAGTCCCGCCCACAGCCGGTGCCAGAAGTAAAAATTCAATACAATTTTTCCATTAACAGTTGGGAAAAGCCATTAAAACGTAACCATACATGGTAGACTTAAAACCAGCTACGGCTGTACTAAGTGATTTTATATGCTCATATAAACCCTCAATGTTTTAGCATGTGGAGCTGCAAATGCGTTTTATAAGCTTCAGTAAATCGAGGAAAAGGAGTTTCCCTGCACATTCACTATATAAAATTCACTGGAGGAAAAAGTTCACATGGCCGTCGTCAGATTTGGAAGTCACTCAAAAGGCTCTTTCACGTTGGCTTCAGTCGACTTCAATGAGGCGCGATGGTTTATGGGAGGAGTAGTTCCTTTGCTCGGAAATGAAAATATGTTCACAGGCTTGTACCCTTGACTTTTTTGGGATTTTCTCTTCGTTTTTTCACTCGAAATGACATGTTGTATGTTTATGAGTTCAGCCGTAGTTGGTTATCCTCATACATGCTCTTAAAGTCTTTAGATATGGATTTTACAAAATGTCAATGGGAGAAATGAATGGGAAATTTACTTCCGGCACCAACGCTCTCTCGGGCTTGGGCGGGACTGTGATGCTCTATAGGAAGCCTCAGGACAGCTGACGTTTTTATGGCAATGGGCGTTTTTGTTTTTGACACGCACACTGTACACAGACCAGTCACAACAGACTGAGCTGTCTGCCCAATCAGAGCAGAGTAGCTCACGGAAAAGAGGGATTTAGAGGGATTGATTCATCTGACGAGTCGTTTGAGAATCACTGAAAATGTGGTGATGTGCAAATGTGTATTATGAGAAAATTAAACAGTTTTTTGACCTTTAATACATGTAAACCTATTGTACGAGACTACAACATTAGGAAACATTAAAGTAGCATAATAAGAGCACTTTAAAGTCATCCAATTTACAAATCAAATTATAGTCTTTATATTATCATTGCAATTAATGTGCATACCAGCCAACTAATAGCATAATGTTTTCCATTTGCCCACAATAATTGTGAATTTTCTGCCTGTTGCTTTTCTCATATAGGAATCTCATCTATTCTGTTCGAGACGCGCATTGGCTGCCTGGAGAAAGAGATTCCTGCAGAGACACAGGATTTCATTAATTCTATTGCACAAATGTTCACCTACAGCATGCCTGTGGTGATGCTTCCCAACTGGACTCGCAGTTACTTGCCATTTTGGCGGTGGTACCTCAAAAGCTGGGATGGCATATTCAAATTCTGTAAGCTTGTTAGTTCACACATCTTTTTCAGATAAACTTCAAAAGATAAAGACATGTTGTGCAGTGTGATGATGAATTGTACTTGGATTACGCACAGCCATAAAGATGATTGACATGAAGATGGAGGCCATTCAGAGCCGCGTGGATGCAAATCAGGAGGTTGCTGGGGAGTATCTAACCTATTTGCTTTCCAATGTAAAAATGAGCAGTAAAGATGTTTATGGAAGCATTTCTGAGCTTCTGTTGGCTGGAGTGGACACAGTAAGAAAAAAGTACTCTATCTTTGACTATTTAAACAATATACTGTAATAAGAGTTTTAAAATGATAGAACATAAGGCTTTATTCATTTTTGTGTTCTAGACCTCCAACACCATGTTGTGGGCATTGTATCTCCTCTCAAGAGATCCAGAAGCTCAAGAGGCTCTGTATCAGGATGTAACCAGAGTCTTAAAGGGCGACAGAGTCCCAACAGCACAGGAAGTGAACAACATGCCTTACCTCAAAGCTGTCATCAAGGAAACACTAAGGTGGAGGATTTTGTTGAGTAATATCTTAGCAAAATACAGCAAATTCTGCATATAATTGTGTATTATAATCTCTTTTCACATGTAATCTTTGTGCAGGATGTATCCTGTGGTGCCCATAAATTCTCGTCTCATTGCAGAAAAAGATATTGTCATTGGCGGACACTTTTTCCCTAAAAAGGTATATTGTCCTAATGGTGTTAAGAATAAAAGAAGTGTTATCAGTTTAAAAACTGGCATCACAAAATCAGTTTTTTTTTTTTTAAACAGACAACATTCTCTCTGTTCCACTATGCAATCAGCCGTGATGAGAAAGTCTTTCCAGAACCACGGAAGTTCAAACCTGACCGCTGGCTCCGAGATGGCAGAACAAGACCCAACCCATTTGGGTCAATCCCATTTGGCTTTGGAGTCAGAGGCTGTGTTGGCCGGCGCATTGCTGAATTGGAGATGCATCTGGCTTTGGCAAGGGTAAGAGAAACTGAGATTTATTTTTTATTTTGTTATAGACAGTTCAATTACATTTATATATTTTGCTTTTTGATTGAATCTTTTCATTCCAGCTAATCAAGTTGTTTGAAATCAGACCGGACCCAACTGTAGGTGAGGTTCAGTCCCTCAGTCGTGGAGTGCTTGTGCCAGACAGAAAGGTTAACCTCCACTTTGTGGAGAGACCGAAGTTACATTTACATTAAAGAAGACCACTGTTTCAGCAAGACATAAGGTGCATATGTATGAAAATTATTAGCTGAAGTAAATCATGTTAATGACAACTTCTTTATCTTCATTTGAATATGATTTATCTTCATTTGAATCTGTTGTGCAATATAAAGGACCCTGTATTACACTGTGAAAATACTTTTTTCTCTGCCCAATTTTAGTTCTTGCCATTAAATTGTTCTTGTGCGTTGTATTTCATAATGGTGTAAATGTATTTTTATGAATTTGAATTAAGAAATTAATTAAACTTTTGAATGATTCAAAAATATCTGTGTTTTATTATTGTTCAGTATTAACGGAAGGGGATCTAAGAATATTTTTAATACCATTGCAATAGATATTGGAATGCTGAGGGGAAATAAAAATAACAGCAACTATTTTGTACAGTATACAGACCCTGTGGAAGAAGGAAACAAAGGATCAGTGTAAGGTTTGAGGAGTGACGCATGGAAGGATGGTGAAATGCAGTAATGTGAAGGGAGTGACAGCCAGTAGGTAACCTCGTTGATCTGCCTCTGTATCGCGAACTCTGTATCACCAATGGACCTATATACCTGGGACTCAGCTTGCGACAGGGCTGTCGGAGGCAGATGTCCCTGGTAGAGAGCCAGACCTTTTTGTCCAGGTTGATATAATGGTGTTGCAGATCGTCTAGCTTCGGCCTGGTCGTCTAACAGCCCTTTGCAGATGTGTGTGTGCTGTGCTGAGTCCCAGACCCTCTCGCTCTCCTAGAACCAGTGATGGACTGCTGGGACCACAGGGGCGGCTGAAAGCCAAGTATGCACTGAAACGGAGTGAGACCTGTGGTGGATTGCGGAAGAGAGTTCTGTGCATACTCGGCCCAGGGTAGATAGCGACTCCAGCAGTCCTGATGGTTGTGGCAATATGACCTCAGGTATCTCCCGATCTACTGAATCTTCCTCTCCGTTTGTCCATTAGATTGTGGGTGATATCCAGATGTAAGACTTATGGAGATTCCAAGAAGGTTGAAGAATGACTTTCATACACTGGAGATGAATTGTGGGCCACGATCTGAAACGATGTCTTTGGGAATACCAAAATGACGGAAGATATGAGTGAACAGAGCTTCTGCAGTTTCGAAGGCTGTAGGTAAACCCAGCAATGGAATCAGCTTGCATGCTTTAGAAAAATGATCAACCACAACCAGGACACAGGTGTGAGAATCAGATGAAGGGAGGTCGGTAATGACGTCTACCCCGAGATGAGACCAAGGTCTAGTGGGCACCGGAAGAGTTTACCTTCAGGGTTGAGGTACCTTGGTCATGATGCCTTTGACATATCGGGAGACGTCCTGGGTCATATTGGGCCACCAGTAGCGTTATTAAATGAGCAAGAGGGTTTGATGGCTGCCTGGGTGTCCAGAGCCCGGAGATGTATGTACTGAGTCCATGAGAGACGGACGTAAACGAGATGGAACATAGACCGTCCCCCAGGACCTCCCGGCGGAAAAGGTTCTGTCTGAGTGTCTTCCATAATGTGGTCATCGATGCTCCACTGGATGGGACTAACTATCATGGCTGGAGGGAGAATGGATTTAGGTTTGGAAGCATTGGAGTCAAGTTTGTATAAATGAGAAAGTGAGTCAGCCTTGATATTCTTGTCCCCAGGGCGATAGGTTACCTTGAAATTGAAACTTGTAAAGAAGAGTGACCAGCGGGCTTGACGAGTATTGAGACGTTTTGCATCTCGAAGATATTCCAGGTTCCGTAAAGATGTCAAAACGGTGTTTTGCTCCCTCCAGCCTATGTCTCCACTCCTCTAAAGCCAGCTTGATGGCAAGAAGTTCCTGATTACCAATGTCGTGATTCTGCTCCGCCGGGGAGAGTTTCTTGGAAAAGAAGGCACATGGATAGAGTCTGGGAAGCTTCCCCTGCCGCTGCGACAACACCACTCCTACTCCAGTAGTAGAAGTGTCCACCTCAACGATGAAAGGAAGCTCAGGGTTTGGATGAGCAAGAGTAGGAGCGGTGCAGAAGGATGTTGTAAGCTTCGCTGGTCCAGGACAGAGACTTGGCACCTTTGCGTAAGAGTGAAGTGATGGGAGAGCTGATCTGACTGAAACCTTTGATGAATCGACAGGATAAATTTGCAAAGCCCAGAAATCGTTGAAGTTCCTTGATGGTAGTTGGTAAATGCCAGTTGGAAACTGCTTCCACCTTACTGTGGTCCATGGTAATCCCTTGTGGAGTGATCACATAACCCAGGAACTGCATGCATTCTTGGTGGAACTCGCATTTTTCAAATTAAAGGAAGAGGTGATGTTCACGAAGATGTTGCAATACCACTTTGACATGATGATGGTGCTCAGGTAGACTGGAAGAATAAATCAGGATGTCATCAATATTGACAATGAAAAACGATGAAGAAGGTCTCTGAAGATTTCGTTCATGAAACCCTGGAAGACGGCGGGAGCGTTGGACAGCCAAAAGGCATAACGTTGTACTCCGTTGTAATCCGTCGTGGTCGTTCTGTGGAACTTGGGTCGTATCCACATCCATAGGCTCTGGTACTGGAAGGCTATCAGGCAATGACAGATGAGGAGGAGGAGGTGCAGGGTGATCCGACAGGCAAGCTGTTCTGTGTTTTGCGATGCGTATGGAACGTTGAATGAGATTTTCGATGCCAATGTTTTCATCATAGATGGCCATCATAAGAAGACAAATGTCTCGGTTGAGATCCTGATGATAGACAATGACGAGTGCTGTCTCATTCCATCCACAGTTAGCGGCAAGCGTACAAAACGTCTCAGGTTACGACTGTAACCTATGTTCCCTGAGAACAGGGAACGAGACAATACGTCGAATGACGCAATGGGGAACGCCTCAGGCGTGACAGGTGTCTGAAATCAAATATCAACTCACAGTAATCAGGTTGACCGGCGACAGCCCGTGCATCATCAGCTTGAATGATGAGCGCGTCAATCTGGATGTATAAGAAGGGCGCCTTGAAACCGTGACAACATCCTATCGTCTGAAGGGACTGTTGCAGGCAGGCCCCGAGGCATGGCAACGAGACGTATTGTCTCGTTCCCTGTTCTCAGGGAACATAGGTTACAGTCGTAACCTGAGACGTTCCCTTTCGAAGGGAACTCAACAATACGTCGAATGGCGCAATGGGGAACGAAATACCCACTCCGCCATGCTGAGGGGAGTGCATGCCGAAAAGGCAGTGACAACTGTCAGAACCAGTAATTCCAAGGAACACTGAAACCACTCACCCTATGTTACATCGGGCTGTCAGTGACAGCACTCCCTACCGGTCATAGCCCAAGCTAATGAACCAAGAAAAACCAGAACGTAATAACGTGGGTAAATCGGGGCCAGCTCAAAGGCTTTAGGACCACAACTTCAAAATAGAAGGGGTCCCTTCTAGGGAGTGTGGCTAGGGGGCCAAAGGGACCCCCAGCCAGTCACTATTCAGGAGAACACTCCTCCTGAAATGCCCCCAGGCTGGCCTGGTGATCTGTACTAAGACACACAGTCTGGCCATAGCCTGTCCGTCCAAGACAGAGCCTCTGGAAATTGCCTAGGAAAGGCATCCAAAAACTGAAGGCCCGCGAAGCTGGCAGAAACCATCAAGTTTCGGATCACAGAGACGGGATCCTCCGGAGAGTGTGACTCAACCTCAAAACAACGGGAATCGTACACTCAATCCACGAGTTTCCACCCAGTGCTCGCTTTGAGCACTGAGGAAGTAAGAGAGGGATCAAAATCAGGAAGGTCAATGAGACCTAAGACCTGATGACCCCCTCTGTGTGGGGAGCTCTGAAACATGAGGGCTCATGTCAGGAAGGCCGTACACTGTGCGGCCTGAAACCCAACGACCACAGAATGTGGAAGCTCATCCTTCAGGAAAGCCAAAGGCTAGAAACCTGACAGACCCACAATATGGGGCTACCTCGAAACAGGTCTAATGAGACCTAAAACCACCAGTTGTGGGAGATAGCTTGAACAAGGCGACAAAGACACATCTAGAGTGGGACTCAAAGTGAAGAACCGGAGTCTGAACCACATAAGAAGGGACCGAAGCATACTGCGCGTGACCCTCACCATAAGAAATGGATTTTAAAAAGTGCACAAGACATCTCGTCAGGTGACTTACCACAATAATAGGTGAAGTATGGGTTTGTGTACTTCACTCTGAATTCAGGAAGGCCTGTTGAGGCCTGTAACCTGGCGACCACAGTGTGTGGGAGCTCATGGCCAGGAAGGCCTGGTAAGGCCTGTAACCTGGTGACCACCGTATGCGGGAGCTCGTAACCTGGCGACCACAGTATGTGGGAGCTCATAACCAGGAAGGCCTAGTGAGGCCTGTAACCTGGCGACCACAGTGTGTGGGAGCTCGTGACCAGGAAGGCCTGGTAAGGCCTGTAACCTGGCGACCACATCCGGTGGCAGCTCGTACTCAGGAAGGTCAGGGAGACCCAGCCTGGTGTACCTGAAAAACCACACCAAGTGGGAGCTACTTCCAGAAGTTAGCTCTTAAGAACTCTTAAAGTGGGACCCGAGGAAAGACCGGGGTCTGAGCCACATAAGAAGGGACCGAAGCATACCGCACGTGACCCTCACCATAAGGAATGGATTTTAAAAAGTGCACAAGACATCTCGTCGGGTGACTTACCACAATAATAGGTGAAGTATGGGTTTGTGTACTTCACTCTGAATTCAGGAAGGCCTGGTGAGGCCTGTAACCCAGAAACCACAATATGTGGGAGCTCATAACCAGGAAGGCCTGTTATGGCCTGTAACCTGCCGACCAGTGATGCGCGGGTTGATCCGAAATGAGCCTGTGCCTGCGGTCACCCGCGGTTACCCGCAGTTACGGGTCATCCAAAAATGTTTTTAATGATATTCGGGTCGCGGTCGGTCGGGTCGTTTGAAAAAAGATGCCAATTAAACATTTGTATTAATATAGTACTATACACAATTTTTGATGAAATATACAGCCCTACACATTATTGGCTGAATAACTGGCACGAAGATAACACACAAGCTCAGTCTAAACAGTTCTCGGAGTCGGCTCTATACTGGTGATTCGAGAACTGTTGTCTCTGTGCGTTCGGTATACGCAGTATCTATGCGCAGTATCAGCTGCTCGTGCTCATCACTTCTCTCAACAGTGACACCAACATGTCTCGGTTTAGTGAACTGTTGGAGTTACTGGAGTAAAATATAATTCAGGATATTGATTTACTTCGATTCGGAGGGACTGTCAGGCATGTCTGAAAGTGAGTAACTTTAGTAACTTGTTGATCAGCACTAACGCAAGACGCGAACTGTTTCGAACGATTCAGTTCGATTTAGTGTACTCGTACTGGTTCGACCGGTTCACTAAAAAGAACCGGGCGGGTAGCTGAAAACGTCGGTCGGTTGCGGGTTGTTTATACATTGACCCGCGCATCACTGCTGCCGACCACAGTGTGTGGGAGCTCATGACCAGGAAGGCCTGTTAAGGCCTGTAACCTGGCGACCACATTGGGTGGGAGCTCATACTCAGGTGACCACAACCTGTGGGAGCTTACTCCACCAAGTGGAGGCTACTTCTTTCAAAAGTTAGCCAGAGAAGGGCGTCCCTGTAGCCTACTTAAGTGACAGGATGCCTCTTAAAGTGGGACCCAAGGGAAGACCGGGGTCTGACCCACATAAGAAGGGACCGAAGCATACCGCGCGTGACCCTTACCATACGAAATGGATTTTAGAAAGTACACAAGATATCCCGTCATGTGATTTACCACAATAATAGGTGAAGTATGGGTTCGTGTACTTCACTCTGAATTCAGGAAGGCCGAACTTGAGGCCTGTTATCTGGCAGCCACAACAAGTGGGAACCCATAATCAGGAAGGCCTGACAAGGCCTAACACCCGATAGTCCCAATGCATGGGGAGCTCACATTCAGGAAGGCCGCTGAGGCCTGCAGCCTGACATGTGAAGACTCACCACTACAACTTAGCGACCACGAAAAGTGGGGGTTTCACATTCAGGAAGGCCTGGTGAAGCCTGCAACCTGACATGTGACAACTCATAACCAGGAAGGCCAATGAAGCCTGAAGCCTGGTGACCACAGAGTGGGAGCAAAGTGCTCAGGAAAGGTGGTGAGGCTGTATTCTGGCTACCGCAGCATGTGGGAGCCCACATTCAGGAAGGCTGGGTGAGGCCTGTAAACTGACTACCACAGTATGTGGGAACTCATAACCAGGAAGGCCTGGTGAGGCCTGTAACCTGGCGACCACAATGTGTGGGAGCTCATAACCAGGAAGGCCTGGTGAGGCCTGTAACCTGGCGACCACAGTATGTGGGAGCTCATTACCAGGAAGGCCTGGTGAGGCCTGTAACCTGGCGACCACAATGTGTGGGAGCTCATAACCAGGAAGGCCTGGTGAGGCCTTTAACCTGGCGACCACAGTATGTGAGAACTCGTATCCTGGTGACCACAGTATGTGGGAGCTCATAACCAGGAAGGCCTGGTGAAGCCTGTAACCCAGCGACCACAGCATGTGGGAGCTCATAACCAGGAAGGCCTGGTGAGGCCTGTAACCTGGCGACCACAATAAGTGGGAGCTCATAACCAGGAAGGCCTGGTGAGGCCTGTAACCCGGCAACCACAGTATGTGGGAACTATAACCAGGAAGGCCCCTTTGAAGCCTGTAACGTAGTGACCACAATGTGTGGGAGCTCATAACCAGGAAGGCCTATTGAGGCCTGTAACCTGGCGACCACAGTATGTGGGAGCTCATAACCAGGAAGGCCTGGTGAGGCCTGTAACCCGGCAACCACAGTATGTGGGAACTATAACCAGGAAGGCCCCTTTGAGGCCTGTAACGTAGCGACCACAATGTGTGGGAGCTCATAACCAGGAAGGCCTATTGAGGCCTGTAACCTGGCGACCACAGTATGTGGGAGCTCATAACCAGGAAGGCCTGGTGAGGCCTGTAACCTGGCGACCACAGTATGTGGGAGCTCATAACCAGGAAGGCCTAGTGAGGCTTGTAACCTGGCGACCACAGTATATGGGAGCTCATAACCAGGAAGGCCTGGTGAGGCCTGTAACCTGGCGACCACAATGTGTGGGAGCTCATAACCAGGAAGGCCTGGTGAGGCCTTTAACCTGGCGACCACAGTATGTGGGAGCTCATAACCAGGAAGGCCTGGTGAAGCCTGTAACCCAGCGACCACAGCATGTGGGAGCTCATAACCAGGAAGGCCTGGTGAGGCCTGTAACCTGGCGCCCACAGTATGTGGGAGCTCCCACGGATGTCTCTCCGTGGCCACCATAGCACTGACGGAACAGCAGATTGCTTGCAGTGCAGGGCGTGCAGAACCGCACCTACCTGACCTGCTGCCGTGTACGCTCTGTCATTCAAGCATGAAGATGTCTTGAGCAGCTTGGATGACAGGGTCAGAGCTCTTAGTGAAGAGGACCAACCAGAGACGAGATAGTTAGCCAACGTCTCGTCCACTGGCGGCATCGACACATATCCGTGCTCCACGGCTCCCTCCACAGCAGCGAAACTAGCCCGCTGATGCAGATAGAGACGTGAGGAGAACGGATTCTTCCATACCCTCGCAATCCCAGCGTGGAGATCAGAAAGGAATGGAAGGCTCATCCGGGCTGGTGGCTTATGGGTGGGGAGGAACCAGCCATCCAAAATACCATGAGCGGGTTCCTCCCAGACGCGCCTCCACTGCAACTCCAATCTGTCTGTGGCGCGCCCCATAATGTCAACCAGCTCAGCGTACACTGGGCAGGAGGGCTGAAATGGTTCGGTCTCAACCAAACTGACATCCTTTTCTATATATATATATATATATATATATTACAGCCAACTCCTGCCCTGCCCGAAGAGAACAGTTACAGATTCACCAAAGAGAGAGAGCGCTCATTTTCTCTCTTCTTAGATGTTCAACGTTAATCTGTAACTTACCCTCGTCAGCTGGTAGATCATCCACGAGGTTAACGCCCCACTCCCGATAATCTGCCAGCTCCATCTGAAAGCTCCACGAGCTCAACCGCCACTGAGCCTCAGCCCGAGCGGGAACCGGAACCGCGGGGTTCAGATGCCGCGCCCACTTCCCTCGAGAAGTGGGTCAGACGAGAGCAGAGAGTTCTGAAAGGAAAACTCTCAGTTCGCGCAAAAAACTCCCTCGAGAGCTTCCCGCGAATGCTCTTCTCTCAGGCAGAACACGCACAGATCGTGTGAATCCTCCAGTGTCAAATATCTGGACACAAGTCGGCACACTCGCGCAAAGTGTTTCTCCACGTCTCTGCGCGCTTAATCGTTGATACTATCACACAGACAAACAGTCCCTGAAGACGAAAAGGATGTTGTCACGGTTTCAAGGCGCCCTTCTTATACATCCAGATTGACGCGCTCATCATTCAAGCTGATGATGCACGGGCTGTCGCCGGTCAACCTGATTACTGTGAGTTGATATTTGATTTCAGACACCTGTCACGCCTGAGGCGTTCCCCATTGCGTCATTCGACGTATTGTTGAGTTCCCTTCGAAAGGGAACTGTAAAGCATACTCAGAGACTGATGAGTTTCCTTGACGCAACCGGAATAACTGGTCGACAGCGCATTATGAGCTTGAGGGAAAACTTCTCGAAAATGGGTAATGAAGCTTGAAAGCGCTTGAGTTACCATTCCTGTAACATCCCAAAGCGCCCGAGCCCAGAGAAGAGCATGTCCAGTGAGTAGTGAGATAATGAAGGCGATTTTCGCTCGTTCAGTGGAAAACTGGGTCGATTGCATCTCCATGTATAATTCGCACTGAAGTAGGAAACCGCTCCCCCTCACCAGAGAAAGATGCGGGTCGGGCCATGGGACTGACAGAGGCAGATGTGGATGATTGAGTGACGAGTGTAATGGCTAATTTTGCATTTACATTAATACAAGTTTCTTTTCTTTCAAATATGATCTTTATTTTCTTTTATATGTTTTCTTTTATTTCATTAAGATGTGATAGATGTGTGTGTAACTTTTACTAACGTTGGAAAAGATGTATTCATGAGCATTTAAAGGAAAATATTCATATCATCTAACATATACTCATAAGCATTTAACGGAAGATGTTCATGTAATCCAAAGGACATTGTTAAAGATATAACAAGCTGTTAGAAATGCATAAGTTAGAGTAAGCTTAAGGTATAACTAAACTGTTAGAAATGCATAAGTAATGTAAGCTTAGTGTGAGGACATAATGTTCTGTGTTTAACAAAGAAGCAAGCAGCATGGAAACATTTTAATAGCTCATTCTATTTCAAGTGTGAGTTATATTTGTGCAGGGTTTTGATCAAACAAAAGATAAACCAGAACTTGCACCCAAGAGATAAATTGAGGAGAAAGGTGTGAGGTCGAACATAACTTGTAACCAAGAGATAAATTGAGGTGTGAAGCTGTATTTGAACATAGGAAACTTAACACAAACGTCATTGTGCTGTCCAAATTAAAAATACGGTCTACAAGAATAGTCAAGGGCAGTGCAAACAGGTTTCCTTGCTAGAGGGTGTAGGAGACAATCCGTAGCAAAACCAGACATAGCCTGCATGGTTTCCTGGGTTTTCAGGTATATAAGGATGATGAGAAGGACTAGCCTTCGCCTTCACATGTAGACACTGTTCTGTATGTTGAACGCCAAGGATTGGATTTGTTTTCTTGCAAGAAAATAAACTTTTGATACTTTGACTTTTGAAAAGGTTTCCACTTGTCTTCTTCCTCCTATCTTTTCGAATAACAGAGAATCATTTCCACAACACGAGTGGATGAATGTTTTGCCGAATCTCTTGCAGAACCACTGAAGCTGGAATTTGAGGCTATGGACTTTCCTCGCTGACTTCCGTGTTCGCTTGCATCGTTGGTCTGGTCTTCTGTCACAGATTGAGAGGAAACAGACAGGTCTTGTGCAATTGATATTGTTTATTGAACGTGGTAAGTAACTTAACAGGTGAGTAATAAATGATAGCAGTCTGAAGAGTTCGTCTTGATGATTATTTGATAATGTCTCTTATCTATTGCAGACGGACTGAAGATGAACCAGGACGAGGTATTCAGATCAGATGAAGGAAGGCAGATGAATTGGATGACAGGTAGGTAGACCAGACGGTGAGCAGAGGGAACTGAACCAGTTTTAAAAGTGAAGGTGATTGAATGCAGATTGACATCAGGTGAGGAAGACAGGTGGCGGTGATTAGGATTCCGGTGATGATGAACGAGTGGGCGGAGTGAAGAGGTCTGGTGCTGACTATAGGGGATTATCATGCTGATACGTAGGACTTCCGGATTCAGTGATCTTTGTGAACTGCCACTTCCGTTGAATCACAGATCTCGCTGGCGAACTGATGACGGACTACACTAAGTTTATTTATACGGCATCCCTGGTAAATTAGTCTGATTCACTAAAGTGCCGGCTGCAAACAAACGTGTTACCTTGTTTTATTTTAAAGTTTTAATCCAGTTTTTCCTTATACTAAATTCAGTCGGGAATCCATGAAAACTTACGTAGGGTTGGCGTTGTTGGTTAGATTTACAAAGTGGAACAGAGCAGTGACATATAGCCTTCGTCTCAGCCATTGTTGAACTGCGTCGGAAGTGGACATGCACAAAGTTGACAAATCCCGCCCATGAAACCCGGAAGCGTGATAATAGACTATTGTGTATTCGTGACAGATTTGCTCTGATTTCTTGGAAGGAATTCCTTGCAAGGAATCCCTGTCGAATTCTGCCGTTTCTCTACACAGTACACTGACTGCACTGATCAAACACATGATGGGAAATGACTTACTGACGACACAGCTGCTAAACTGTGTCGCATTTGTTCTGTGATGTGAACTGTGATGTATTGTTCTCTTTTAAAATGTTTGATTTTAAAACTGTGATATCCTGTTTCATGTGTAGGCCTATAAATTATGTGTAAATATTCCCAAACAACTCGATGACAGTGCTCCATGGTAATCTCCATGGGTTATTTGATTGTTGTCATTTATAAAAATAAAAAAATCTTTCTAATGGAAACTTTGGGTCTTGTTCATTATAATTATTTTCATATAAAACCAACAGAACGTAAATTACAACCAGTTTATTACAAACACAGTGCACGAGCATGAATCCGCCTTGATCTCACAGGAGAGATCTGTCCGAGTTGCCTGCGCTTTTTTCTACTCCTCATCACTCCAGCTGCCTATTCTCGCATACATTTCAGGCGAGGTGAGGCTCATCTCAAAAAAGCCTATTGAATTGAAAACTTTGCGCTTCGCGACAGTGGACACACACCTTTAGTGGTACACTGACAGTCAGAAGTGAAATAGGAAAGGAAATTATATCTTCAGTCAAAGATTTATTCAATATCATAAAAAAAGCTTGTGCAATCTCTCTAATATCACTAGAAAGCATTGTAATAAATAAAAGTACTGTTTTTGTTTGTTTTACGTTTTAATTAATATCTAATTCCATAAAAGGCCTGAACTGTGTTTATGACAATTACAGTATGTCACAAAAGTGAGTATTATCTACTCAGAGGACAATACTATAGAAATGAAACTTGGATATATTTTAGAGTAGTCATTGTGCTGCTTGTATACCAGTATATATTTACTGTCCTCAGAAAATAACTCAACATACAGCCATTATTGTCAAAATAGCTAGCAACAAATGTGTTTTGACAATAATGGCTGTATGTTGAGTTATTTAAAGCTATTATCAATATTTTACAAATATTGGTAATAGCATAGTTTATGTATAATACTATAATAATAGCAATGGAATAAGAAATATCAATTACAGTATATAGACAATAAAGTTGACTATGAATAGCCTAGTAGCCTACAATCATTTAACAGTGTAATAGATTGATAATTGCAAATGGTATAATATTACAATAATAAGAAGAATAGCAAATACAATGTTATATCAATTGCAGAATAATATAGACAACATGAAAAAATATGAAACATTAAAGTATTGTCACAGTGTCTGGTTGTGTTTCCCTGGGTTGTCACCAGAGGTCCTAGTTCTCACAGTGTCTTACACATTTGACTTCATTTCCTAGCATTCTGTCTGACTTATCACTGTTCATTGCACTCAGCTGTTCCCCGTAATCATTGTACCCCGCTGTTCCTTTTTAGTTCTTTGTTAAATTATTTAACTAGTTTCTTTTGTTTTTGTCCTTTTTGGATATTTACAGATCCTACATGGGTGATGACTCTTTACAGCTTCGGGCCACTAATGGGCTTGGGATACCATATATTGGTTATGTAGAGTTGGATGTTGAGCTCTATGGTGAGCTAGTGCCAAAGTGTGGGGTGCCGGTGGTCAAAGGATGCATTTCCCTTGCCGCGCATCAAAGATTCACTGGACGCATTGACAGGGGCCCATTGGTTCTCAACCTTGGACTTAGCCAGCAGATATAATCAGATCCTGGTGGTGGAGGGTGATAGACCTAAAACCGCCTTCTGCACCCCATTTGGACTCTTGGAGTATAATTGGATGCCATTTGGGCTCTGCAATGCCCCCAGCACTTTTGAACGACTGATGCAACGTCTCTTTGGTGACCAGCAGGGTCAATCCTTGTTGCTCTACTTTGATGATATTGTGGTGTTTTCTTCTTCTGCAGAGCAGCATTTGATGCGGCTGGAGGTGGTATTGAGTCGGCTGGGACGGGAAGGTTTGAAGGCGAGATTGGATAAGTGTTTCTTCTTCCATAAAGAGGTTAGGTATCTGGGGCATGTGATCTCATCAAAGGGAGTATTGACAGACCCGAGTAAGACCGGGGTGATGTCTCAGTGGTGTCACCCAGAAACGGCAAGTGAACTACACTAATTTCTGGGTTTTCTGGGTTTCTTTAAGTTAATACCGTCAGTTTGTAGAAGGTTTTACAAGACTGGATGCGTCATTCATAGGTTGGTGGCAGAGTTTGCGGATTCAAAATCCAGAAAGCGAGTGTCTCAGAGTTTTGCGGCTGCATGGACTGAACAATGCCAAAAGAGTTTCGAAGGATTAAAAGGTAAGCTTACGTCATCACCAGTCCTTGCATATGCAGACTTCTCTCTGCCTTTCATCCTGGAAGTGGACACCAGTCATGCTGGACTGGGAGCAGTCCTTTCCCAGGAGCAGGAGGGTAGGGTGTGGCCTATCGCATACGCTCGCCCCAGTCTTCGGCCCACTGAGAGGAACACGTCTAATTACAGGTCCTTGAAATTGGAGTTCCTGGCGCTCAATTGGGCCATGACTGACAAGTTCAGGGAGTACCTGATAGGGCAGAAGTGTGTTGTCTTTACAGACAACAAACCCCTTAGCCATCTGGCTTCAGCCAAATTGGGTGCATCTGAGCAGTGCTGGGGTGCATAACTGGCCTCTTTTGATTTCAAACTTCAATATAGGTGATGGAGATGTAATCGCAATGCGGATGCTCTTTCGAGACTCGATCCAGCAAGGCATTACGAGTTTAGCCGCCAGAGTTTTGGTAGCAATGTACCACTGGAGATACAACAGGTTATGGATGATGAACGAGTGAGTTCTCTGGGCACCCAAGTAGTCACCCAGGCAACTGTTGTGTCTTTTCCAAGTTGTTCAGCTGATGACATAAGGTCATTACAAAGAGCAGACACGGTTCTGGGGGAGGTCTTGGGACTTTAGGAGAGGAGGATGTTTCCCAGTCATGAAGAGCATTGTTTACTCTCTAAAGCCGCCTTTCCACTGCACACGACATTCGCATACGATTGTCGCATTTCGCCCCCTAGTATCAGTCGCACGGAACTTTGAAATTGGTCGTGAAGCAACCGTTACCCTAGGATATTCACAATGGTAAAATTAATGATTTTAATAAATGTAATGCATGCATGAATATATCTACACAAAACAATGACCCTCAATTCATGTCAAATAAAAATTTAGTAGTATAAATATTGGTTTAATAATTATAAAATATTTTTTCTGCTATAGTTAATTATAACCAACATTTTACAGAGCGAGCGTTTACAGAAAAACATTTAAGAGTTAAAATATTGGTAATTCTAGCCTCGCGCTCCTAGTTTTTATTAGAATACATCACTTCCGGTTGGCCGGTCGCATACGGTCTAGCCGCAGAAGTTCAGATATTTCAACGGATCCAAAGCTCAAAACGGATCCGAATTTTCCGCATACGCATATGATCGGAACTCCCCGCAGCTCCCGTATATACGACTCTCCATTGGAAATGAATGACTTCCGGTCCGACGGCGGTCGTTTGTCGTGTGCAGTGGAAAGGCGGCTTAAGCCAGCTGAAGTCTTGCTCCACCAGTGGCTGAACGTTGGTGGAACGGGACGGGGTAGTTTATCGTTGTGTCTTTCGTCCTGATGGGGGAGAAGAGCTAAAATTAAATGTTGCATAAATTAAAAGGTAAGGAATCATATTTGTTTCAAGAGTTTTTTTTTATTGGAGGTGGGGGGGCTAGGGCCTTCTAATATCTAGAACCGGCCCTGTCTTAATTTTTGTACACGACTTGGTGAGCTCTTGCAAATTGTAGCCTCTTTTTCCTATTTGTAGTGGGTATGAGTGGTACCCGGTGGGGTCTTCTGCTGTTGTAGCCCATCCACCTCAAGGTTGTGCATGTTGTGGCTTCACAAATGCTTTGCTGCATACCTCGGTTGTAACGAGTGGTTATTTTAGTCAAAGTTGCTCTTCTATCAGCTTGAATCAGTCGGCCCATTCTCCTCTGACGTCTAGCATCAACAAGGCATTTTCGCCCACAGGACCGCCGCATACTGGATGTTTTTCCCTTTTCACACCATTCTTTGTAAACCCTAGAAATGGTTGTACGTGAAAATCCCAGTAAGATTGCAGATTTTAAAAATACTCAGACCGGCCCGTCTGGCACCAACAACCATGCCACGCTCTTTTGTAGCTGATTGGAAAAAAAATGTACTAAGCATTCGAGATGGTCCTCACTGCAGAACACGAAATCCAGGTTTGATCCAGATCCAACTCCTCCCACCTTACACCCATCTCCGACCCCTGATCCCTAACCCCAGCCCTAATCCTACCCATCTCCACCCCTTAGATCTGTATCCAACTCCGCCCCTGGATCTCGTGTACTGCAGTGAGGTGCTACTGAAGCATTCAGCAAATTCCTTTCAGGAATAAGAGCTGTTGTAAACACGTTTCCTTAGAACTGTTTCCTTACCCTCATGTAAACCTGTTTGACCTCATTTCTTGTGGTGTAATTAAAAAGAAGAACATTAGCAGAATGTTCACACATCTCTTTTCTGAGGACCAGGGGCAGTTGTGGTCATCATTCACTTTCATTGAATGAAAAAGAGCAGCTTTTGTTTTCCAAAGAGGAAAGATGAAGATTTTAACATTTTTTTATTTATTTAATCAGTTTAAAGTTACAGGGACCGTGCACATTAATAAACGCTTACGTAAATGTGCCAGTTTAGCCATCTTGGCTAATTTTCAACAGTAGTCACTGGACAGATGTAATAACCGATAAAATACATTCAGACAATCAACAATACTTATACATACATTAAAACAAATAACATAGAAGCTCATAAAATACATTCAACAAGAACAACAAATCAAAACATGATTAAGATGATTTAAAAACTACAGAATATGGGTACACACTTGATTGTCCTTTAACCATGATTTTAATTTAATCTTAAACAGCCCATATGAAGCAATGTCTTAAATAGATGCAGGTAACTACTCCAAGTGTGAGCTGCTCTCAGAGAAAAAGCTGACAGACCAAAGGCAGTTCTTCTCAGTTGTATTACACAATCCCCTCTTGTTACAGACCTTGTATGTCTAATAACAGTAGTTTTTTGTTTTATAAAAGCAGTTAATGGTGGGGGAGCTAAGCCATGTAAAAATTTAAAAACAAGACAAGAGTCTGTGAATTTAATAAGATTGTCCCAAGTCATTAGATTGTGTTTTTTTAGACAGTGGCAGTGGTGATGGGTATTAGGCTTCCTATCGAGTACCTTAGAAGCTTGATGGTACCAGTAACTGCACATGTTTAAGGGTTGTGCTGGAGGCTTGTGCCCAGCTAGTCAAACAGTACAAAAAATATGGAATGATCATAGCATTAAAATATTTTGTCGCTGCCTTTGTAGTCAGACAATTTCTTATATGACGGAAATTTGACATGTTAAATTTTACTATATTTACAACTTTTTTAATTTGTTTTTTAAATGTTAAATTGGAATCAATTATTATACCTAAATCAGATACCATTGACAGTTGTTCCCCTGCAATATAAATATTTGCTATGGAATTGTCTGTTGACCTCTTTGTGAAGAACATACATGCACTTTGTGAAGAACATACTGCCGTGAGCTTATAGGCTGCTTGCTGTTTGTCCGGCGCATGTACATAAATGACAGTGTCGTCTGCATACATTTGAATCTCAGACTCAGTGCATACAGTCGGGAGATCATTTATGTACAGGCTAAACAACAACGGCCCCAAAATTGATCCCTGAGGTACACCAATGTTACAATTAATGGCCGATGATACCTCATCGTTTATCCTAACCCTTTGTTCTCTGTGTTCCAGATAAGACTGCATCCATTTTATTACATTAGGATAGACATTAAACATTGACAGTTTTTTTAATAGGACACCATGTAATAGGACACCATGGTCCACAGTGTCAAACGCTTTTTTTAGGTCTAGGAATATAGCCCCAACAACTCCTCCTTTGTCTAACTTTGATTTCACATTCTCCACAAAAAAGCAGTTTGGAGTTTCTGTTGAATGATTCGATCTAAAACCAAACTGCATAGGATGGAGTGTAAATGGGCTGTTACTAAGGTGGCTAGTGAGTTGTTCTACTACATCTCAATTACCTTTGACACAATAGGTAATATACTAATTGGTCTGTAGTTACAGAACTTTGAAGTAATACCCGTTTTGTGGATCGTTGTTATTATAGCTGTCTTCCACGCTTTGGGATAAATTCCTTCATTAATGGATCTATTAATAATATGTGTTAATGGACTACTAGACAAATATTCATTAAACTCTTTCAAGAACATTGTGTCCAGTCCATACAGCTTTGGAATTTTTTAGGGAACTTATTATTCGTGTCACTTTAGCTTCGGATATTTCGTAAATCTCAAATACAGGTTTATCGTAATTTACAGGCACCATGGGTAATGGATTGATAGATTGATTATGTATCAGTGATGATACTGATGATACTGATTTGAAGATGATACTATTTGAGCCTCATCCTATGTAATACTATTATTTATATAGATTTCAAAGTGCTGTTTATTACCACTATGATGTTTTCCTGTCAGCCTCTTTATGTTCTCCCATATTAGTTTGGTATTTCCCTTTCCTTGATCAATAACATTAAGATGCTTTTGCTTTCCTAATCTCCTTTGTTGCCTTATTTCGTAGTCCTACAAACTTTAGTCTGTCAGTTGCTAATTTTGATTTTAAGGCAGCTTTCAATGCTGAGTCTCGTTCTTTCATCAGGTTATGCATGTCACTACTTAACCATGGAAGCTCTTTTTTTTCTGTTGTGGGGTTTAGTTCTCCTTAAGAAGTTATTCATTGTCCATTGAATTGTGGCGAAAAAGATCTGACAGTCAGAGTCGACATCAGAGTAAGAAAGTAGGCTATTCCATTCTATTCCTTTAATTGCATTTTCAAAGTCATTTTGTTGTCCCTTGGGTATTCTGAGGTGACTAGGCTTATACATAAAATGAGGGTGAGTAAATAATGATGTTTTTGAGAGAAGTAAATTTCGTTAAATATCATTATATGTACGAGAATGGTGTTTCAGATTTCAAAACAAACCTGCTCACAATATTACATTACAAAAGATGTTGAAGGGTTAACTAGAGAGGCTTTTGCCCCACCTCCTTCTCCCTCCCGTAGGAAAGAGGATCGGTATTTGCCTCACTCTTCTCCCTGCTTCCATAATGGCTGTTCGTTTTGCATTGAGCTCTGCAGAAAGGATTGGATTTGGTTTTCTGAGGCCCATAACAACAACCACAGACATCAGGAGAGGGGCAGTGGGTAATGCTGTTGCTTCTGTCACTGTTCAGGACAGCCATGGGAAGCTCAAGACTGTGGCTGACCTTCCAGAGATCACCACATATAGGATGTTGTACAGACTGATCTTTAAACGGTACTTGAATCGCATGCATGAGCTACAGGTAAAAAAAGAAAACACAGCTGTTGTCTATTTATCATGTGACTGTGACTGCAGGACATTTAAATGATTTCTGCCTTCTTTTACGTACTCAGACTGTCAATGTTTTGCCTTTAAAGACACTGAATAGATAGAAAACATAGATAGAAAACACTTTCAAATAATTCAGTATACTTTTTATTTATTTGTTACTCTGAACCAATATGGAGGTGCATTGCAATTTATCTCAGAATTAACCAAAAAAAAAAATGTCTTAACTTTTTCACTTGTTTGTTCTTCTCCTCTTGTTTTTCATCTCTCCAGTTATACGAAAAACGTCTTTATGGTCCCTTGTACAAAGTGAACGCTGGAAACTTCCAATCCATTTCAATAAACAGTGTGGACTTACTGGAGGAACTCCTTAGAAAAGATGAGAAGTTTCCTTGCAGAGGAGACATGACTCTGTGGACAGAGTACCGTGACATGAGAGGCATCGGCTACGGCCCTTTCACAGAGTAAAAACACATTGGCATTGGTTTCTTTATCCTTAACATGTTTTGCAAATTATACATTATGTAAGACTAGTTATGTTATGAGTTTTTATGAGGTCAAAGTGCATTAGGTCAAAGTGCACTGCTAATGAAGTGGTGTGATGTTGTTTAAACTTACCAGGTTATGTTGTTTTTTTGTTGCTGTTCTGAAAAGGGAATATGTTCTCCAACAGAGAAGGAGAGAAATGGTACAAACTGCGGTCAGTGCTGAACAAACGCATGCTGCATCCAAAGGACTCGGTTCAGTATGGAGATGTGGTCAATGCGGTGGTCAAAGACTTCATCAAACGGATTTACTATCTGCGGGAAATGAGCCCCACTGGTGATCTTGTACCTAACTTGACCAATGAGCTTTACCGGTTTTCCCTTGAAGGTATTTCCCCTCCAAAAGCAAAAATTGGTATCATTTTACAATAAGGTCTCATTTGTTAACATTTAGCTAATATACCTTAGTTAACATGAACTATATGAGCAATGTTTTTTTACAGCACCTACTAACCTTTGTTAATGTTAATAAAAATACATTTGTTCATGTTAGGTCACAGTGTATTAACTAATATTTAGCGTTATGATATATAGGCCACAACACAAAGTGACAGCAAAATCAGTTGTACTTGTTTGTCTAGGGGGTTTATTAAACAATTGAGTAAATTACAACCACAAAAATAGGGAGATTAACTACAACAGAACAAAACATTGCAGGAAGATCAACAATAGGCGTGGTGGCCGGTAACCAAGTCTCTCCCTCTCCTTTTCTCTCTCTGCACGAAGTGCCTCAGCTTTTAAAGGGTGTCTCTCCGCCCACCCGTTACCTGATCACACCGTCACACAATAACAAATGAAAAACATTCTGCCGAGCAGCCAAACATTAATAGAGGAAACAGCGCCACTACAGGTAATGGAGGAACGTAACATGTAAAAAAAAAAAAAATGCTGTAAAAGTGTTGCTCATTGTTAGTTCGTATTTACTAATATAGTGAACTAATGTTAACAAATGAAATCTTATTTTAAAATTAGACATTTGAAGACACACCTGGCTTGTCACAATTAACGGTAATTAGGAACCAACCACCTGACTCTACATCATGCAAGACTATGCAACATTAAACATTTCATTACAAGGGCAAAATGAAGTAATTCTTAAAAAATGCAACATAATTGCTTGAAAAATGCAATATTTGTAGACATTTTTCCCCACATAATATATTTTAGCATTAGCAAATATGGTACTAAATAATAATCTGTTATTTTTACTTGTCAATTTAAGCCATTTAAGCCATTTTTTTCTTCAGTGAGATCAAAAGAACGCCATTTATTTATTTTAATTAATGTGTCTTCATTACTGAATAAAAGTATTAATTTAAAAAAATATCTTACTGACCCCAAACTTTTGAATGATAGTGTAGAAGCAGATGCCTTCATCCATGACTTTATTTATAATTCAAACTTAATCAAAAAGTTTAAAGTATTAAGGTATTTTTATTATGAAGTTATCATATTAAATTATAGTCTTTGCAGTATATTATCATTGTAATTAATGTGAATGCCAATTTATCATGGGTGCCAACTAATAGCATAATGTTTTCCATTTGCCCACAATAATATTCTGCTTGTTGCTTTTCTCATATAGGAATCTCATCTATTCTGTTTGAGACGCGCATTGGCTGCCTGGAGAAAGAGATTCCTGCAGAGACACAGGATTTCATTAATTCTATTGCACAAATGTTCACCTACAGCATGCCTGTGGTGGTGCTGCCCAACTGGACTCGCAGTTACTTGCCATTTTGGCGGTGGTACCTCAATGGCTGGGAGGGAATATTCAAATTCGGTGAGCTTGAGGCTGATTTATACTTCTGCGTCGGACCTATGGCGGAGCCTCTACGCTATAGACTATGCGTTGGTTTTCATTTATACTTATGCGTTGTTGAACGCTTTGACGCGCAATTACACATGCAGAGGAAGCATGTGAAACACGGGGAGTGGTTCTAGCAGACCAATCACAGCAGGGACGTGCACAGGGGGGTTGCTCAGGTTGCCCGGGCAACTGCCCATATGCCCTTCTCGACCCAGGTTGCCCTTCCGAGGGGAAAAAAAATCGTACAATGGATGTACAATTTCACGTAGGCCTAGACAAAAAAAATAAAATAAATAATAATATAAAAATCGCAAAGCCTCATTCACTTCCATTCGGGCACTGAAAGTGAAAGTCAAACTGTTTACGTGGCTGCAGTGCCGCACGCGTGGTAAGGCACCGCAAATTACTCAGGCCGCGCCTCCATCTCTTGTCGCGCGCTAATTCAAATGTGTACGAAGTCCATGACAAAATGAAGCGAAACTATCCTTCTCGTCACGAAAAGAGGAAGAAGAAAAACATGAGAGTGAATTGCGGAAACAGCAGTCAGGTAAACTTGTGTTCTCTCCTCTCTAGGTTTGATGTCAGCAAAGTTTGATGGTTTTTGGTCTTGCTAACTATCTGGGCAGACAGTGCATCTCTTGCATCACTTTTTGCCTGACAAATGTGAGAGTAAAATACCATTATTTATTACGTTTTGTTTTTGATAAACGACAAAGTGCAACAACAGTGTTTGTTTACTGCAGCTCGAAAAACATAACCGCGTCGCGTGTGTTGCGTTCATATGCGCGTGCACGAAATGAAACTCGCATTTTTCAAGCAGAAATGTGGAGACTAGAAATACTGTACAATACGTGAATGATGGCACTCTCAATCAAAGTACACATTTTAAAGACACTGATTATCTAGTCTCAGTAAAAACTCTAAACAATTGCACTAATTATGCAAGATAGAAACCAATGTATTGGCAATTTGACATTGATTGATTGACTATTGATTTATTGGCTATATTGAATTTAAAATGATGATTAGCTGGACATTCTGGTCAATATGAATGCAAATCCCTCAGTAAATAACCATAAATCAAGATTTGCTTTAACATGCATCATTTTTTTTTTTTAAATATAAAAAAAAATCATAGGCTACTGATTCCGAAAATACCCAGGCTGTAGAGTAAACCAAAGTTAATCCCAAAAGCCAAAGTTCAGGGTTGTACTTTATTATTTTCTTCTTATTTATGTTTACGTTAATATTCACTTGTTATCTTAACATTCTATAAAAATGCTTTATTCAGTAAATATTGTTTGTTTGAACCTCATTCTGTTCTATAGACCATTTTGTAAGATGTAAACAACGCTGGTCCAGAAGCACGTCCTGTTTCAGTTTTTTAAAACTACATAAAAGCTGGGATAAAATACAACCAACAGAACATGTAAAACTGAATCAAAAAGTTAAACAACATCTTTAAGATGTTTTCTTTACATGTGAAATAAAGAAAACCGTTACAGACTGAAACAGGAAGTGTTTCTGGACCAGTGTTGTTTACATCTTGCAAAATGGTCTATATTGTTGTACTTATTCTTTGACTATTTTGTTTTAAGGAGGGAGGATTGTATTGGGCGGTATTGAGTGGCAATGGCAAATGGTTTACATGGCTCACGGCATCACAGATCAGGTAGAGGGCCCCTTAGCAGAATTTTGCTTAGGGCCCCAGGGGGAGGTCAGGATTGGCAAAAAAGGATTGTATTTTTTTCCCGAAATCTAAGCGTTTTTTAAATTTTTTTGAGTTTTTCCTTTCAATCCAGATTATTTCTTTTCAAATAAATAAATAATAATAATTTAAAAAACAATAAACAAAAATATGAGGAACTCTTTTGCTCATTTGTCTCATCTCTGACATTTTGCAATCTTTATAAATAATTATAAGACCATAAGATGAGGCATTGCGTTTGGAATTTGGAAGGGGACAAATTCAACGGAATATATTCCTTCATATAGCCCGTGAGGGGGGAGGAGGGGGGGGGGTGCCCTTTTTTCAGGTCAGAGCAACTGCCCCTCAAAATTCCTGTGCACGTCCCTGAATCACAGTACTTGCGGTACACGTAGAATTGATGCGTTGTTACATTTTTGGAGAGGTGCACGTCAGGGTACGCGGCGAAGGGTACACACAGCCTACGGCGTAACTACGGCGTGAGTTCGACGCAGAAGTATAAATTGGGCTTTAGTTCACACATATTTTTCAGATAAACTACAAGAGATACAGACATGTTGTGCAGTGTGATGATGTATTGTACTTGTGGATTATGCACAGCCGGAAAGATGATTGACATGAAGATGGAGGCCATTCAGAGGCGCGTGGATGCAAATCAGGAGGTTGCTGGGGAGTATCTCACCTATTTGCTTTCCAATGTTAAAATGAGCAGTAAAGATGTTTATGGAAGCATTTCTGAGCTTCTGTTGGCTGGAGTGGACACAGTAAGAAAAAAGTACTCTATCTTTGACTATTTAAACAATATATATAAGAGTTTTAAAATGATAGGACATAAGGCTTTGTTTCTTTTCGCGCTCTAGACCTCCAACACCATGTTGTGGGCATTGTATCTCCTCTCAAGAGATCCAGAAGCTCAAGAGGCTCTGTATCAGGATGTAACCAGAGTCTTAAAGGGCGACAGAGTCCCAACAGCACAGGAAGTGAACAACATGCCTTACCTCAAAGCTGTCATCAAGGAAACACTAAGGTGGGGGATTATGTTGTGAACATACATCGTATTTGAGAAACCAAATGAAAATCTGACAGTGGCCAACCAAACAGCAAATTCTGGATATATAAATTGCATATTATAATCTCTTTGCACATGTAATCTACTGTGCAGGATGTATCCTGTGGTGCCCATGAATTCTCGTCTTATTGCAGAAAATGATGTTGTCATTGGTGGACACTTTTTCCCAAAAAAGGTAAATTGTTCACATGTTGTTTGGAAGAAAAGAGGAGTTGCCAATTTAGAAATTGACATCACTAAATCAGCTGTTTTTTTAACAGACAACATTCACTCTGTGCCACTATGCAATCAGCCGTGATGAGAAAGTCTTTCCAGAACCACGGAAGTTCAAACCTGACCGCTGGCTCCGAGATGGCAGAACAAGACCCAACCCATTTGGGTCAATCCCATTTGGCTTTGGAGTCAGAGGCTGTGTTGGCCGGCGCATTGCTGAATTGGAGATGCATCTGGCTTTGGCAAGGGTAAGAGAAAAGTCTCGGGTTATTTAGCAGTAACCCTGCTCCCTGAAAAAGCGGGAACAAGATGCTGCGCTTAGCTCTATGGGAACACTTTTTCCTTTGACAATCAGTGAAGTAAGTGTACAAACTCTGACTTGCTTCACTGGTTAGTGTGGTGAACGTAAGACTGAAGAGCATGGACAGGACAAAGTTGGTGAAGTTTCTCCTTGTTGCAATCCAGAAGGATCACTACAAATAAGGAGAGATAAATACCTTTACATTGCAAATGATCTGAGCTTTATTTTACATTCTTCCTCAAAATGAGCCAAAAATTGACCATCTAAAGCCACAGGTATCGACGCGAAGGGCAAGAAACTGCTACAAAGTCCAAGGTAGCCCCAAATCAGACTCTTGCCGACAGGAAACAGGCAGCTTTTGTAAGGAACGAAGAACACCTGCGCGCCGGTGCTCCTAATCACGCCGCAATCAGCCAGTCACCAGCAAACAAGACAGACGCACAAACACACAAAACAAGGAACGGCCGACAGGGAGGTCACACTTCTGCTCCTTAATTGTAGATGGTGGAGGGGAGAAAGCTCAAAAAGTGACCAGGTGAACGGTGGAGAATGGAACCTTAGGCAGGTAGTCAGGATGAGGATTGCAGATAATTTTCACCATTCCTGGGGAAAGTCTAAGCAAGATGGTGAGGTCGACAGAGCTTGCAAATCTCCAATTCTCTTTAGTGAAGCGATTGCCTTCAGAAAACACATTTTTAGGATCAGAAACGTGTCATGCGCTTACTCTAGAGGTTCAAAGATAAAGATGTTCCCAATCAGTCCCTCAAGGACTATAGCTAGGTAGCTAGGTCCCATGTGGGAACTTTGATTCTAACGGGCAGCCTCGCACCTAGAATGAAGCCGGCGATCAGAGGGTGTTTCCCGACTGATACCCTATCAACCAAGCTGATAAGGCGGCCACATACACCCTGAAAGTGGCGGGGCATGTGTCTGCTAATAATTTGTCTTGCAGAAACTCCAGCACTGAAGCAACTTGGCAGGGAACTGGTTCCACGTGATGTACAGTACACTACCACTCAAAGAACACCCCATTTAGTGCCCTAAGCCCTAGCACTAAGAATGGTCTCAATATCTTCGTCTGAAAGCCCGGTGTCCCTCACCTAATACCCTTCAGGGGTGATAACCACATGAAGATTCCACAACTCAGGCCGGGGATGAAATATTGTCCCCTGTCCTTCAGAAGGTCCCTCCTGTTTGGTATTGCCCAGGGCAAGCCGTCAAGGAGGGATATTAACTCTGCAAACCAAACTTGGTTTGGCCAACACAGCGCTATCAGTAAGAGGCAAACTTTGTTAGAACTCCCAGGAGCAGCGCAATCACGGGAAAAGCATACAGGCGCATTCTGGGCCATGCATGTTCCATTGAGTTCAGACACAGAGGGGGGCTGGTTGGCTCAGAGAGAAGTAGAGGGGACATTGCACTGTCAAGACAAGAACTTTTCCTGAGCCCAAAGCAGAACCTGTTGCGCTAGCTTGTTCAGATGGTGCGAATGCAGGCCACCCTGGCGATTTTTGTTGGAGACTACAGTAGTGTTGTCTCTTAGCTTCTGGAGTAAGTACTTTAAAGCCAGAAACAGAGCCATCAATTCAAGACAATTAATGTGACCTTGCCTGATATTTCTTAGGGTGTCCAAAATGGTCTCGACATAAGCGGAAGACAGCGGTGCCCACATATGGTGACCGAGTCCCATATGTCTCTTCTTTGCGTTGAGTCTCAGACCTAGAGAGGACAGATGATCGGGGGTGTCATCAAGGACGACATCTTGATGTTAAAGCACAAGCTCTTTAGATTGGGCCAGTATCGGCCATAGTCTATGAAATTTAAAATGCGGATGCCCTGGAGTCGCAGCAAAGCCAAAGCTGCATTTCCATGCATTTCGTGTATGTGTGGGGTGACAAGGCTAGGCCGAAAGAAAGAACCTGATATTGATAAACTTCAACGTACCGACTGTAATAGCCTGACTGTCTCTCTGGGAGGGGAACACGTTCTATGGCCCTGTCCAGAAGAGATTGCAGCTCTTGTGACATGAAATGTACCCTCTCCGGTTTGATGGTTGTAGGGACCACGCCGTTAAAATGCGGGGTAGAACATGCATTGTATCCTGTAACCCTTTCCTCCAGTCAATCAGATCCGAGAAGAGATACCGGGCAGTAACTTCCACGCTGCCACGTTCAAGGTCAACCAAAGCACCCATAGAACAGTCGATGGTACACACTGTCTGCTTGGTCACATTGAGAGACAGGTCTGTTGCCTGACAAAGCACAGAAAATGACTCTTTGTCGATGGTAGAGCCCGCACTCAGGTGTTTGATCAGGTCAGCCTGGTTTGCCTGTAACATCACTATGGTGTGCGACCTGCTGTGTGAAACGCTTTCTCCACAAGCATGGAGGTCATTCTGCACGGCTTAGTGGGGAGAGTTGGTTTCTTAAGTGATGATGCAGACCCAGGTGAGAGTTAGCCCACGAGCATTGCATTAACGAGGCATTATCTTATAAACAGGAGCCGCCACACCCATGATAGTCGAATATATTAATGTCGAAGGTCGCGCAATGTGTAAGGTTTTCCCCATGAGCAGGAGATCTCGTCATGGAGGTCCTTGAAGAAGGGTAGAGATTGTTTTTGTGACCCTTCCTTCTGGCCACCGCACTGAAATATGTCCTCTAATTTTGAGCGTCTGGGAAATCTTCTTCATGTTGCCAATCCATCTGTAACCTGGCCACGGCGCAAGTCACCACCTTGAGTAGCTCTTCTTGCTCTTTGTCATAACGTGGAGTGTGCTCGGAAGTGGTGAACTCAAGATCCATATCACAAGAAACAAGAGAAGAACTGCCCTCTACCAGAACCGAAGAAAAGCTGCCGCACGCTTCGGAGTCAGGCAGAAGGACATCGTAATCTGGAGAGAGACAGAGAGAGAGATACAGACAGACCTGTCTCTCGCCCCTCCCCCAGATCATCATGAGTGCCCCATAATCTCAATGTAGGTGCTGGCCCTTGAAAGGAAGTAAAGTTAGCGGGAAGTGCTTTAACTGTGAACAACTCACAGTGCTTGCAAACGCACTGGTCCAATGGACGGGCAGCATGCTCTTCCCCGAGACAAACAAAGCAGAACTGATGTGTGTCGAGTTCAGGCATGGCTGTGAACACAAAAACTTACTCTGTATGATGCTCATAATCATTTTGAATTTAAGAAAAGACTTCTCAGTAATTTAAACAGAAGATAGCCAGAGAGCTTGAATCACACACACACACACACACTATGGCTCTGAAAACAAAGACAGTTGAAGGTGCAGGTGCACCTGCATCACATCTAATTATAGCCTCTGACCAGCATACACTCCAGTGACATCACTGTCAGAGGTCATCAAGTTCAAAGCCAAATTATTTGCCGTGTTTACACACATAATTCAGATGGTCACATGAAGACATGTTCCCACTGCAAAGCGCAGCATTGAGAGTTGCTTTTGAAAGGGAACAGACATATTTACTTTTTATTTTGTTATAGACAGTTCTATTACATTTATATATTGTGTTTTTTGATTTTTGATTGAATCTTTTCATTCCAGCTAATCCAGTTGTTTGAAATCAGACCGGACCCAACTGTTGGTGAGGTTCAGTCACTCAATCGCACAGTGCTTGCGCCAGACAGAAAGGTTAACCTCCACTTTGTGGAGAGACCGAAGATACATTCTGAAGCATAGCTAAAGAAGACCACTGTTTCAGAAAGACATAAGCTGTATGTATACATTTGAAAATTATTAGCTGAAGTGAATCATGTGAATATGTCAATTTCTTTATCTTCATTTGATAATGATTCTGTTGTGCTTTGGAATATGCAATATAAAGGACCCTGTATTACACTGTGAAAAATATTTTTTTCCCTTCCTATTTTATATAGCTTTTGCCATTAAATTGTTCTTGTGCATTGTATTTCATTATGCTGATATATATGAATCTTTAAGGATCTTGAATTAAGAAATAAATGAAATCCAAAATATTTTTGTTTTATTATTGTTCAGCATCAGTGTAAGAGGATTTAAGGATATTTATAATACGTATATCACTGATAACAGGAACTGATAGAAATGAAACAAATTACATTATGTAACAAATGAAATTATAATACATCACCTTTGACAAATAGATTTGTATATATCATAGACTGTAAAAAAATGTGTGTGTATATATATATATATATATATATATATACACAGACACACACACACACACACACACACACACACACACACACACACGCACCTAAAGGATTTTTAGGAACACTTGTTCAATTTCTCCTTAATGCAATTTCTCCTTAATGCAATTATCTAATCAACCAATCGCATGGCAGTTGCTTCAATACAATTAGGGGTGTGGTCCTGGTCAAGACAATCTCCTGAACTCCAAACTGAATGTCAGAATGAGAAAGAAAGGTGACTTAAACAATTTTGAGCGTGGCATGGTTGTTGGTGCCAGATGGGCCAGTCTAAGTATTTCACAATCTGATCTCAGTTACTGGGATTTTAATGCACAACCATTTCTAGGGTTTACATATAATGGTGTTAAAAGGGAAAAACATCCAGTATGCGGCAGTCCTGTGGGCGGAAATGGCTTGTTGATGCTAGAGGTCAGAGGAGAATGGGCCGACTGATTCAAGCTGATAGAAGAGCAACTCTGACTGAAATAACCACTCGTTATGCAGCAAAGCATTTGAGAAGCCACAACACGCACAACCTTGAGGTGGATGGGCTACAACAGCAGAAGCCCCCACCGGGTACCACTCATCTCCACTACAAATAGTAAAAAGAGGCTACAATTTTAAAATTGGACAGTTGAAGACTGGAAAAATGTTGCCTGGTCTGATGAGTCTCGAGTTCTGTTGAGAGATTCAGACGGTAGAGTCAGAATTTGGCGTTAACAGAATGAGAAGATGATCCATCATGCCTTGTTATCACTGTGCAGGCTGGTGGTGTAATGGTGTGGGGGATGCCAATTGGGCATTGTTCAAATGCCACGGGCGAAAAGGGGTCAAACACAGCACTATTAGTATGGTGTTCCTAATAATCCTTTAGGTGAGTGTGTATGGTAAACATTTGAAGTGGATCAAAAACCTTTCATCAAAGATATTAATGAATTTTGATCAATACCCAGTTTTGTCTTAAGACAACTTTGCTGATTTTTTTGATCCACTTCAAATGTTGACTACTGTGTGTATATAATAAATCCAATAAGTCAACGGTCCATCGTCAGTTATTCCTTACATTAAAAAATGCAATCTTAATTTCAGATTTTGTTTTTTATGCATCCCGATAAAACCCAAAAGTAGTCAATAAATTGTTTCTTGAAAACGTATTTATCCAAATACAAAAACCTATCATAACAATTGGAGTGAAAGAAAAAGTCGTAAGTTCACATAACTTAATGGGGCTATGTTTTACAATGTTGTATTGCTGTTAAACCATGTAGTGTGGGCTTCTATGTTTCAAAACGGGGGCAAGACATGCTTATTACATCAATTGATGTTGATTCCAAATTGTAATAGCAATCCTTATAGCATTTCTGTATAATTTTGACTAGGGACTTTGACTTGTTGTTAAAGGTAGGCCTAAAGTTATGACATAAAGTCTATTTCATTTCTGCATATCTGATGTCATATTTTTTGTGTATCTCTACAATATGCTCGTTATTTTTAGTTCATTCACCCACCTGTTGTAGTAGGTTACTTCTCTTCATCCGCTGATGTCATGCTGTCGCCTGCCAGTAGAGGCCGCAATCGCCTAGACAGGCGTTGGATCGATGCGTCTGTTCACGAAGAAGAGAAATAAACATCCTGTCGGAGTGCGATGAGAACACGAACAGCGCTAACGTATTTGCAGATATTATTCCTTTTCGGTTTGAGTGGGTTTCATTTTTATATTTATATAGTGTAGAGATATTCATTTTGTGAGTTTGCAAAGGTAAACCGTGCTCAGCCTTCAGTATTCAGAGAAAAACGCACGGGTTTATTTTTCTTCTCTGAGCTCGTAACACGGTTTGCACATCATACAGATATTTCTCTTAAATACGTTCTACATTTGGGTTTAAATCGACTAAGCCACAGGTAACTGTTTTCTCTCTTTGTTTTACAGGATTCAGAGTAACTTTACTTTACGTTGGTCATGACCAGCAGACAATTTGCTCAGGATCACATCAGTAAATCTTAACAGTTACTGTTCATGCTTCACCCATCATGAATCCAAACATCTTTGGTCAACCACAAACTGCCTTTCAGGCATCGAACAACACTAATCAGTCTGGAAACCTATTTCAGTCCTTTGCCCAGCAAAACCCAGCACAGGGGGTTGGCTTTGGACAACCCTCAGCTTTTAGTCAGCCAGCTTTTGGCCAATCAACACAACAACCATCTGTCTTCGGCCAAACACCTACTTTTGGCCAGGGCGGTGGGTTATCTCAAGGGTCGGTGCAGCCATCATATTCCTTTTTGGGAACAGCCCCAGCTCCAGCCTTTGGGCAGCCAAGTTTGGGTCAAGGCACGCTTGGATATGGCCAACCACCGCCATCATATGCTCAAGCTACAGGACAGAATCCGATGTCTGCTTTTGATCAGAGCTCAGCTTTTGGTCAGCCTTCTGCGTTTGGTCTATCCTCAAGTGTCTCCCAATCGTCGACCAGCTTCAGCAGCACTGTTGCCAACCAGCCCAGTTTCGGTCAGCTTTCTGCCCTCTCTGGACCCACCGCAACATCCTCCTCTATAGTGGGTAGGACTGATAATCCTCCTAGTGGGAACCAGTTCACTTTCAAGCCACCCAATGAATCTGTTTTCAAACCTATTTTCAGTGACAACCCAGAACCTCCCAGTTCAAATCTGTCTTCAGCCTCTGAAACTATTGGATCATCCAAGGCCGTAACTAGTACCATGGGCAATTCCTCTGGTGGTTCGTTGTTTTCATGTGTAAAGCCAAGCGCTCTGGGCTTCAGCTTCTCACAGCCAGCAGCAGCTCCTTCTGTTTCACGTTCTAATGCAAATTTTTTACAAAAGGAGACGCTCAGTGGTGGCAGCAGCAGCAGCATTCAGTTCACCTTCTCTCAACCTGCCAACCCTTCCAGCAGTAGTACGGCTGCTTCACAGCCCACGACTCCCTCCACCTTCAGCTTCACAGCGCAGAGCCTTCAGCCACAATCAGATACCAAAGTACCTGTGTTTGGTGGTACTGGCATTGGATCCTTTGGATTTGGGGTCACAAAAACTGAAGCCCCACTAAAAATGGAGGATAGAGCAGGAGATTTGCAGAGCAGTGGAGGAGAAACAGCTTTTGTGAGTTTCGGCGTAAAACGTAAAGAGGAGACGGTAGACCCAAATCCAGCTAAAAGTGAAAGTGAAATTGGAGCAGAAGGCCCAAGACAACCCGCTAAACGCCCACTGCTGAGAAACCCAGCTGCAGGGCTTTTTCGCAGTGCGATGTCTGAGTTACTGAGATCCAAATTCAGCCCAGTCAAGAGAGAAGTTCATCCTCCAGAAAGACCAGATCCTCCTGTTCCAGCTGGTGATGTGGCCGCTACATCTCTGAGATCTCAGGCTCCAACAGTTTTGAAAAAAGCAGAGGAAGTTTGTAAGATACATTTCTTTTCTTGTGATGTTTTTTTAAGGTTCACACACTAATATTATTTTCATATTATTGGCATAAATGCTGTCCTTTTTAATCTGACAAAATAAAAACACTAAAAATGTTGACATCAACACTATAATGTAAAGTATGGAAAGTGGATATTCATTTAGAGATTACATTTTAAAAATAATTTTTACATTTATTTAATATAAATCTAAATGTAAAACAATGAAATATCCTATATCGTCTGATGCGGATAAAAAAATTAAAAAGATTTTTATTCAACTTCTTTATACGGGACCGATATAATAATGCATCTTTAATTTTTATACGAAACTATTTCGAAATATTTTTTCTTGCTAACATTGTTGTGATCACTTGTCTTTGTAGCGCACAAGCCTGAATCACAGACACACACTCCGGGTAGACGTGCTGCTCGAAAGGATAGCACAGGCAGTTTGGGTGGTCTCTCTCCTACCGATGCCACTGTTATACAGTGCAAAGGCATCCCACCCAAACTCAACAGGAAGGAAATCGTCACAGAGCATTTTGGGCACTTTGGGAAAGTGCTTAAGGTGTATTGCAGGCCTCAGAAACATCTGGCCATTGTGCATTTCCATGATCATGTGAGCGTGACTAGTTAAATACATGATACAAAATTCTCATTGCCAGAAATGCAGTTATATTTAATGAATGTGTTTTTGGTTTAATTAAGTGAACTCTTTCTTGCCTTCAGGCATCTGCAGCCAGAGCCAAAAAGAAAGGAAAGATGTTCCAGAGGAATGAAATTCAGATATTTTGGCAAAGAAAGAAACAGAGTGAGTAACAGTACCATTTTGAAGTTTGTTTACTGTTTATTATAATAAAAATTCTAATTCATGAAATGAAAGATTTATTGTGTAGGACTGTGAAAATAATCAAATTAAAATCAAAATTGTGGTTTGGGCTTTTGGAAATGTTTAAATTGGAAAATGTTGCTAAAGTGCGGTGTTAATCTCATCCACAAAATAAATGATTAAATTGAGTTTATTTTATCAATATAATGAAAGCAAGATGAAAAAGTTTTTTAAACTTAATTATAAAACGGTTAGTTCCAATCCTTGACTCTGATTGGTCAATAGCTGTGCTTTATTCTTGTGCTATGACCGCTTCACCCAACGGTTCTATTTATCACTGTGCAACACTGCAGTTCCTGTGTTGCTTTTATTTGAGCTTTCATGCATATTACCCATTGGAACGTTGTTGCTGTTCACGGTCAGGGACTACTTTTTTCTAGCGGAAGGAAGGCTTTTAGTCATTTTACTTCATGAAAGTTACACTAATACATATTTTTTTTTAGTTTAATATTTTTATTGTGTGGTAACCGTTTTATAAAAGCAACAAGGTACTCGAG